GCTGCATGGTGACCGGTGTGTGTCCCTCACACTGTGCTGGCACACGGTCTCTCCCTCGCCTGGCCCCCTCCTACTCAGGACTGGGATGGCCTCTGGAGGCCCAGCTGCTCATTTTGCCCTTGGATGTTCCCTTCATATTTCCCTGAGCAGTGGGGAGTCGGAGGTTGTGCCTGAGACCTGGGTTTTAATCCTAGACCTCAGATCAGACTTCCTCACCTGCTGTTCTTTTAAGGCATTCAGGGGAAGATGGCTAGGCTGGGCTTTTCTGTAGTGTCGATCTTTTAACATTTAGTCTCAAATTACTTGTTTATTTGGGCAACACATCAGAGCAGTGGCATCCTGGGCAGCTTACAAGGTAAGCTCACAAGGAAGCGGCACACAGTCTCTGCACAGGTCACAGGGGTGGGTCACATTTCCTGAGCTGTGTGGAGCACAGGACACTGCAGGGCCTTGTCCTCAGGAACCCCAAGTGATGTCCACTGTGCACCTGGGAAAAGGAGAGCTGCAGCCAGTGTTCTTGTTCTGATGCCTACAACAGCTTCACTCCTGGAGTGAGTGTGCAGCTAACATTCTTCCAGACCCTTTGCCAGTTAATGTTTTATTAACCTTTCTCTTTCCTTCTGGGCTTAGAAACAGGATATATATTTTATTAGTTAGCTAGTTAGCCTTCTGTGACTTCCACAAGTGCTGTCTGGGCTGGACTGGGCCTGGTGGTTTGTGTACGCCCCTAGCTGCTGCTACGGGGAACTGCTGGTTGTTTGCAAGCCACCCTCCCAGATTTTCTGCTGTAGAGTGTGAGCTGGAAAGGGTCATGAGGCCCTCATTTCAGAGAAAGGTAAACTGAGGCTTAAGGGGAACAGTGATCTGTTCAGTAATTAGCCAAGTGAGTGGTAGAACACTGACCTGACCCCAGTTCTGTGATTCAAGACCAGTGGTTCCGCCAGAGTGACGCGGCAGCCAGCCACTGGCCTCCCACCCTTGGTCTTTACTTGAGCCGGGTAAGGGCAGCACTGCCTGGAGGGGTTGGGGAGGAGAGATGGCCGGGGCAGGAAGCCCAGCATTTCTCATGTGTCGACATGTATTTGCAGCCTCCTCCGAAACTGCCCAGTGGAGTATTCAGTCTGGAATTTCAAGATTTTGTGAATAAATGGTAAGTTGGCTCCTTATTATATGGAAGAGTACCCCATTTTGTCAGGCTTCCCACCCCATCTGGGGGAACATGGCTTTGTCCTTTCCCGTCTCCACTGGTCCTTTCGGCTGCTGCCCTTCCTAGGTGACCTGACAACTGCAGTCAGTCAAGTAGCTGCTGCCTTTTGACTGTACTTGGTTCAGCAAGCATTTGTTAACCTGCTGCGTGCGTGGCCTTGTGCTAAGAATGGAAAGGTGCTCATCAGAGCCTGCAGGGTGTGGGGAGGACAGGGAGGTAAACGTAAGTAATTGGAGGTAGAAGCAGCTCCAGGCAATAGCTCTCATGTTATTTTTCTTCCTTTAAGCTTAATTAAAAACCCTGCAGAGCGAGCAGATTTGAAGCAACTCATGGTAAGTTCATTTATTTCAGATTTACACTACTTGATTATTCATCTGTTCTCCGCTGTCAGTCATGCATCTAGTACTTCCTGGGTCCATCCCTGCTCTGCCTTCACCACAGCAGTCCTGCTGGCCCTGCCATAGGGTCCCGGATACCAGTCTCCTGTCCTCCCATCAGTTTAAAGGAAAAACTGGGGTGGCCCTGCAGCCCCAAGTCCAGGGAAAGAAAGGGCCAGCCCACCCCTTCACGGGGCCAGGGTCTTTTTCTAATATTGACCAGATCACTTTACATTTAGCTCCCTCCCCAAGCTACTCTCCACTTGCCTCCTCTTGTTTGGCAGTGGTGGTAGAGGTGAGCTAAGTAATACTGTGAATACCTGGGCTTACATGTCTTATAGAGCCTGTACAGTGTAACTTGCACTTTCATCAGTTCCTTTGTTCCTTCTAACAGTTGTGTGAGGCACTGAAGGCAGGACTACCATCCCCGTGTCATAGCTGGAGAGAGCAGGCTCAGAGAAGTGAACCAGTTGCCGGAAGCCGCACAGCTGGTGTGGTTGGCAGAGCCAGGGAGAGCTGGTCTTTTGTCCGGCAGCTGAACCTGCTTTCCTGGCCCCCACTGCTGCTCAAGGGCGGGCTCCAGGAGCTAATTCCAAGTGGCACAAGCTCTAGACCTGCCAGGATTCTTGAATTTTCCTTCTTGGTGGCTTTTTAACATTGCTTCCTCTGTTTCCTCACATGCAGGTTCATGCTTTCATCAAGAGATCTGATGCTGAGGAAGTGGATTTTGCAGGTTGGCTCTGCTCCACCATTGGCCTTAACCAGCCCAGCACACCGACCCATGTGGCTGGTGTCTAAGTGTTTGGGAAACAGCAAAGAGCAAGTCCCCTGCCCAGTGGCGTGTCATGTTGCTTTCAGGCCTATTTCCCACGTCTCTCTTCAGACATGCATTTCACATATGACAAAGGATGAAGAACACAGCATGTGCCAAAATTCTGTTTGTGTCATTTTTAATACAACTGTCTTTATTCTTATTATTATTCCCCTAAGTGGATTGGCTTTGCGCTTGGGGCTATTTTCGTGTATGTTGATGATCAAGTCATGTGCAACATTGAATTACAGTGTGAAACTTTGGTGACTGTGGGTAGTCATTTTTACTGAAAATTGCACTGCTCTCCCTCACGAGGATTGGCTGGCCGGCCGCCTGGATCCTGGGGATTCTTTGACACTTGGTACTTCACTCTTGCCAGGCGCACCTTCTCTACTTGCAGAAGGAGCCTTGTAAGATCCTTCACAGGCAGTGCATGTGAAGCATGCTTTGCTGCTATGAAAATGAGCATCAGAAAGTGTATATCATGTTATTTTATTATATTTTTGCCTTTGGTGTAGAATTCAGCAATTTCCATCAAAATCTAGCCAGAGCCCTTCACTGCCATGACAATTGGGGCTTCGCCAGTGTATCTACTCTGATGATTTGTAGACTTCTGGTTGTATTTCTATATTTATTTTTAAATATACTGTGTGGGATATTTAGTGGTATATGTCTCTTTAAGTTGGGATTAGTGTTTCTAAAATGGTGGAGTTACTTTGACTGTCACAAGTGTAACAAGGCATTAAAATGTATGAGATTTATCTTTCCCCAAATCCAAATACTGATGCTATTGTAAACAAGTGTGTATAGTGCCTAACAATTGTATGGAAATCCTTTTAACAACTTTAATCCAAATGTTTAACAAATCTAATCTCTTATTCTAATAAATATACTACCAAGTTAAAAGGCTGAAAGGTATTTCTACTTTTGAGTTAGGATATTCAGTGTCTCTTAACAAGAAATCAGATGGTTTTTCTGAGCATTATTCTGAGGGGAAAGGTAAGGACAGGAAGGAGGCTGGAAGGTGGAGATGCTTCTGTGAGGACAAGTTCAGTGCTTTGGACTAATGGGGCTTCCTGAAATTCCAACCGTGGACTTTGTCTAGCTCTTCTCAGCAGACACCCTTGTCTGTGAATCTCCCCACCACCTTTCCTGTGGACCTGTGAACGTCCTACCTACTACATGCGGCAGCAGCAGTGGGTGGGGGTGGCCAGCGTGCTCAGAGGAGCACCCTGCAGGTGGTCAGCAGTGCCTATGCTGCCCTGCCCCACTGAGCGCTGGTTTCCCCTCCACTCGCTCCACCACTTACCTACACCTTTCTGGAGAGGAGGGACATGCCTGCTGCTAGTTTTGTTATGGCTGTGAGGCCACAAAAAACAAGGCCATGTCTCAGCTGGCCATTGGTAGGTACCCTTTCCTTCTTTGAAATGACTTTTGGAACTTCAGGTCCAGGTGAGGCTGCCTGGTCAGCGCCTCTTCAGACCTACGTTCTTCTTTGGGAGGACCTATTATAGAAAGCTAAAGTAAGCATATATTAAAAAATAAAATGCCTATTTTGTTTTCAAATTAAAAAGAGAATTTGGGTGAATCTCCTGAGCAAGTAGTTCCACTCTGGATCCACCAGAGCTTGGAATGCAGTCCAGATTTTAAAAACTGGTCAGTATTGTATACTGTTGTCTCCGAGTCAGTTTTCTCTTGCTGCGGGGCTAATCTCTAAGTCAGCATACTTTCTGACAAACAAACATTCAGGCCAAGGTTTAATACCCACACCTTCCTCATCCTGTCTTTTGCTAACAGAGAAAGTAGCAACGGTACCGAGAATGTGTCATTAACAGGCAAATTCCACCCGAGAAGGGAGGGATGGTGTAATTCGAGTCTAAAATCTGGATCTGGACACTTTCATGCTCGTTATCTTTTGAGGGGTGCTTTAAAATTCTCTCCTCATATCTCAAGGTATTACTTTCAGGAGACAAAAGATTTTTCCCCCCAGTAATTACTAAGAATTATCTCGTTCTCCAGAATGATGTTCCCTGCATGTCTTGCTGTGTTGAAGTCCTCATGTCAAATTCCTTCCTCAAATTTCTGAAACACTGGCACTAGTTGGATTTTTCAGTTATCTCAGTAGCACCTCTCAGTAACCTGTAAAAATAGGGCAGGTACAAATACCCTCATTTAACAGACAGAAAAGTGAGAGTTCAAAGACGAGAGGGCAAGCAATCAGATAGTGGTAGGGCTGGGGTGCAGAACCAGTTTTCCAGCTCTTACAACCCATGCTCATATTTTAAGTTAGACCCCAAAATGTATAACCTTGATGCAAAACTATCTTCACATTGTTTTCTAAGAAACTTGTTCATTTAAACTTCCTGCTACTTCCTGTATGAGTAGCTCAAAATAACTTTAATGAAAATTATTAACATGTTCTCTTTTCTGGAACAGCTACTTAAGTTCTGCTTGAGGAGGTTCTTTGTGTTTGGCTTTTCTGTTGTATGGACAGGGCAAGTTACTTCTACAAAGTTAGGTAACTAACCAGTACATTCAATGGCAAGGGGAGAGTATCCAGAAATAAATCTCAGCTTCAAATACCAAGTTTTAACAACACTTACTCTGTGACTATCATCTCTTTATTATAAAAGTCCAATCCCCCAAGCACGCTGATTCCTTCCCTAATGACACATTTCCTCCTAAGCGAAGAAGTGCGTTTTAAACCATCCTGCCGTACTCCTTCCCGGGAGGAGGAACTGATCCATTTCCCTATTGCTATCTGGAAACCAGCGGCTGCACGATGTCTACTCATCTCCTTTATTTCTAAGCACGTTTTATCAGTGGAGTCTCAACCTAGATGGGATGACAGCCACACAAAACAGTCCGTAGTGGGCAGTGTTTCAGGACGTCACTGAGAAGTGGCAAAAGCTTGTGCTCTCAAGTGGCCTTCTGTCCTCCTTGTCTTCTTTCTTTCCTAGACTTTGGCTATGCTTACAAGGGTACAATGGTATGCAAACAGCCTGACACTGATTTGCTTACAAGAGGCACTGTTGATCGGAAAGGCTGGCTTGTACTTACACTCTGCCCTTTTGGCAAATGTCAGACTTTCTCAATAGCACTTCAGAGGAAATGTTCTGTTTTGAACACAATTACTGGATCTGACCAGAATGCAGACACAGCACCACCCATATTGCTCAATGCTCAGACACTGCATCTTTACTTTTCCCCGTGCTGCTAATTTTTGGTAAAGCATTCTGAAACTTGAATTATTGATGGAACCAGTTTCGCAAGTGTACATCCTCCTGAAGTTCTTGCTCTCTTTAAAGCAGGCTGGAGGGCCCATGGCAAGAATATTTGGAAGTTTCTGAGACTTTGAAATTTAATTTGTATAACTAATCCTGGCTCTTTCCCCACTTCAGGAATCTGATTCTTCTTCTTCCTCCTCCTCCTCCTCTTCTGTCACATGGCTCCTTGTGCTCAGCTCCAATGCAGTTTGGTTGATTGATGCTTCATTGTCTACATGCACCGACATCTGCTTTAGCCAAGGACATCATGGGTTAGGAGGGAGGACACTGGCCTCAAAAACAGCAAATTTTAATCCAAATCTCAATTGTGTGTTCATTCCCAGTATTTACCACTAAGAGGTATGACCACTTTCCTATTTCTCCAGATTCTACCCCAGGCTCCCCTCCAACCTGCATTGCTAAAATGGGAAGTTAAATGCCTAGATTTGACAGAACATCACCTCATTTACAAACATGGTTCTTATGTAAGAATTATGCTGGTTTAGCTGTACTACTTTCAAATGGGTTTAAAAGGCTTCACACAACTGAGAGAACTGCTCAAATATCATGTATTTAGAAAGATTATGATTTTACTGATTTAAGTGAGGGCATTTGGTAAGAGGGAGGATACAATGAAGACTAGAACTCACTAGTTAGCACCATGCTTTGCAATTGAAGTTATCTTCTACTTCTGAACCCCAAACTAACTTACTCACAGAGCAAGAGGTCTGCCACGTCCCTGCAAAGATCTCTCCTCTCCTTGCGTTCATTAAAGTAAACAGAAAACGTAGATGACTAGGATGGTGTAGACAATATAAGTACCTAACGAATAAATCAATCAAGGTGTAACCAGCTGGGCTGTTCTTGTCTAAAACAGTAATACTGAATAGTCAGTTTATATAAAACTAGAAAATTCCTACCAGTACTTCCCTGAGTTCCCTGGGCTTCATATGTAATTTACAACAGTTTTTGACCTCCAAACATCACAACAGCAGAATGGGCTGCACGTTCTCTCCCTACTCCCACACTTCACTAAGCTTACATCGTGTGACTGTTCACGTGCAGCTTGAGAAGGCAGCATCTCATCCCCTCTTCTGGAACTAATCATTGATTGGAGGGCCAGTTCCTCAACCTAGAAAAGAAGAGTTAAGGGCATTTTCCTTATATTTTCACTGGGCTACTGATGTAAGAAAATTTTACTGTCCATGCTGTAAAAGGTTGGCATCAGGAGAGGAAGTGAGAACGGTACAAGCTCCCTGCCACTCTAGAGAGCAGGGTGGAATCCTCCAGTCCCGCCCCCCTGGATGGACAGGTGCTCCAACCAAGCCAGGGCTTCCACTCCCCAGGACCTGGCAGCTCTGGGAAGAAAACAAGAGTGAAGTCTTAAAAAAAGCCTAGTGTCATCTTCTGACTTCACAGAGGGCAGATTCCTTAGGTTTGAGCTCTCTACCTAGTAATGAGAAACTGAAGGTGGGGAGAACGGAAAATGGAAGTGTTCTCAGGAACATAAAGATGTGTAGGCTTTGAAGTTCATCAATAACACATACACATTAGGTACCTGTACAGGTACTGTGATGTCCTGAGAACGTGAGTTAAGTGTGGGCTATGACAACTGTCCTGAGGAAAAGTCCTTATTCTATTGATATGTCACAGTTGTGTACAATGCTTTTCAGTTTACAATGGGCTTTCATAAGCCTTATTTGGACTTAAAAATCCTGAAGAAGGGTGCTGAGCAGGAATTATCATGATCATCAATCACACTGGGACTAAAGGGTGAGTGGTAATGCACAGGTCTGGGAAAGGGTCCTGGTGGGCCTAAATCTCTATTCCCAGTTAAGGCCATGAAGTCAGTAACCTCTGTGGAAAGAAAAACTGGGAACTCTGCGACAAGTCTCTTCACTCGGGCCTCGTTGTCCTTCACACAATGGGAGAATGCGCGAGGCTCTTCTAGCTTTGCAATACTAGAGCCATTTCAAGCGGCAATACAGCCTGGAAATAGTGGCAGTAAAACCTGCAGGAGCTCGGGAGGAAGGGGATGGTGGGCGGAGATGGTCGAACTTCTCGTGGGAACCACCTGCATTTCCGGAAGATCTGGTATAGGAATGAACTCGCCAAACGTGCAGATTCCCGGGCCTCAACCTAGACCTACAATACCAAAGTTCTGAGCTGGGCCTGTAATCTCAAAACAAGCGCACGCGGGGCTTGTTTACCACCAGGTCAGCACTCTAACCGCCAGGTGAGGAAGGGACCACCAGCAGCAGTGCTGCACCGCATATGCCTGGGGTCCGCGTAGAGCGGAGCTCAGGGCAGTGGCAGGTGGGGGAGGTGATGGGGCGGGTGGGGGCCGCGGGGTCACCTTGAGCCGGTTCAGCTGGTCGTGCAGTGCCGCCTTCAAACGGAGCAGTGTCTCCTCCTCCTTGCGCAGCTCCTGGAGCCTGCTCAACATCGTGTCTCCTCACAGGGCCCAGTTGTTTGGGCGCTTGGTGATGACGTCACAGTCCCGTGTCCCGGAAACGGAACTGCAGGCTGGCTGCACGTGGGCGCGGGTGCTTCCTGCCCTCTCTGCAGGGAGGATCCCGACGTTTTAAACAGTAAAACCTAGGATTTGAATAGGATTCCTCAAGAACAGGGCCTTGAAACTGTACAGAACCGGAAAACTGCTCTATTGGGTTTCAAATGCTTCAGTTGAACAGTACTGTATCGCACTTCTAATGTGACAGAGTTTTTACGTTTTAGAGGGAAACATTGATGCTGTTCCGCTTAATTGTGCATTCAATGGTCAATTCTTGTATGTACCCTGAGGGCCAAGTGCAACTTAGTGTACAGGGACATTCTAACCAGTGGAGCAAATCTAGGGTTAAGTGGTTGCCACCACAAAACCTGCATTCGAAGGTAGGGATTATCAGCAGCACTCAACACAGGAACAAGCCCCCTAGTGTTGGTTATCAAAGGTAAGGATTGCCAGTTACATGGAAGTGTTTCCCGGGAGACGGAGGAAGCTAGCGTGAAAATAAAGCAAACAAATTGAAAGGTGGTGCCTTCGCATGCTAGGGAATGGAGACACCCTGAATCTGCAAATGGATTATGTATCACTTGTGCTATGGACTTGACTGCCAATACAAAGGGGGGAAAAAGTCCTAACATGAAGTCAACTCTAGGGCAATGACATTCAATGGCAAATTAAAGGAAACATGGTTTGATATATTCTTTATCATGCTTGACTAACATATGCATTCCAGAACATGCAAAACTGGTAAGTACTTCTAGTACTATTCCAAGAGGTGAAATATCGAGTGTGGCAAGAATACCCTCTAATGGCACTCACTGTCCCAGGCTGTAAAACAAAAACATTTCTGAGGAAATCATGTTTCTCACTGCTGCATCTCAAGTAGGTATTCTGATTATGCCCTCTTGTGGTTATTGGGAATGTCAAATCTATGAAATTCTCTACTTTTTGTTTTGGTGGAGGGTTGCAGCTTCATTTTAAGTTTCTGTGTATTTGATTCAAGCCTTCTCACCATCATCTTTTCTCAAAACACTGCTTACAAAATGGATTGGACTTTGTATCTGTATTTATGAAGCATCCTTCCTACAATTCAATAGCATGGATTTTGTATAAATTCAATGATCCATTTTAGATCAGATTGTTAACAAATGAAAGGCTGGAGTTAACAAAGAACGTGTCATCAAAAACAATTCTAATGAAGATCCACACAACAGATGCAGTAAGTCATGTTTCTCACTGCCTTTGACATGTTTATTCAAAACTAGCTGTCCATAGTGACTTGACTGTTACAGAACAAACAAATGTTAAGTTTATGCCACAGGCTTCTTTTCTTCTGTGGTAGGTTTCTTTTCTGCAGGCTTCTTCTCAGCTGCTGGTTTCTTGGTAGCTGCAGCCTTTTTTCCCACCACAGGCTTCTTCTGCTTCTTAACGCCAACAACCTTCTTTCCTTTCTTTCCTACCACAGGCTTCTTGCCTGGAACCCCCTTCTCATCTGATTTGGCTTTTAGTGCTGCTGCTGCTCTATCCACCCGGAGCTTGTGCTGCAATAAATTAAGAAGAAAATCTAAAAAACCGAATCTTTCTAAAGACTTACCGTATCTGCAAAAACCCAAATTATCACTTACATTCCTGGCCTGGCGAAGAATAGTGTTCCGGCGCATGGTCTTTGCATATGGATTTAACTTCAACATAATTCTCAGGTTTTTCAGTGGATTCTTCTTCAGGACTCTGCGATGAATCTTCTTGCTATAAAAAAGACAGTGTATTAACATTTTATTCCATTATCCACATCTTTAAAAACCCTCACCAAGGATATGCTTTTTAAAGAAATTGACCTGAGAGGAAAGGAGAGAGAAGCAGCAACTGTCTGCCTTCCACACACCGGTCAGGGATCAAACCTACAACCTTTTGGTGTAGGGAACTGACACTCCAATTAACTGAGTGGGTCAGCCAGGGCTACACTACCCCACACTTTACAAGTAAGTTAATTATAATAATATTGAGGCAAGAATTACTATAAATATCACAACTTTACCGTGGTGCTCGGAGGGCTCTTTGAATCTCTGGACTTTTTAAGATTCTGCTAAGATCTGTATTGAGCATCTTGTGCATGGGAAGGCTGAAAGAAAAATCAAGAAAATGTTGAAAACAGACGCCCAATTCTTATTTCTCATGTGATTAAAATGAACCTCAATGTTTAACTATTTAAAGCTCCCCAGAATTCAAGGAAAATTTCCAACTACCCTATCACTCCTCAGAGCATCTCATCATATTGCATCTGTACATAACAGGAAATAGCAATAAAACACAATGTTATTTAGACTAAAACATGAAAACCAATTCAGAATGTGAACACAGTATAAACATCATGTATGTTCCGTACATGAATATGAAGACACTCACTTGTAGTTACTCTTGAGGGAGGCTGCTTTACGCCAAGTGCCATACAGATCATCTAACTTGCGGAAAGCACTTTCAGTCCAAATGCAGAAACGGCCCACATGCCCACCAGGAGCAAGTTTCAAAACATTCAGTTTGCTTACATTAAGCAGAGTAATTCCTTTTAAAGGGAAAGGAGAATTAAGGCATGTGTATTTCAATAGAAGAAACACAAATCGTCTTGACAGCGTATGTACTACATAAGATACCTGTGAACTATAATTATGAAGTTCCAACCATTAGTAGTGTACTCATTTAGTCAAGAACCAGACATTCCACAAAATCATGTGTTTTAGAAACACGGACCATAAAGTGGAATCTCATCATAGTAAAAGTTGAGTACATCTGCATAGTTCAGGCTACCAAACATGAAGGCAGTAAAAGAATTACCAGGAATGTTTCTGAAGGCTTTGTTGATACCATTGTCCTCATTATAAATGATGCAGGGTCCCCTGCGCTGGATACGACGACGGTTTCTCATTTTACCCTTGCCAGCTCTCATTCTCTGAGAGGCATAGACCTATGAAGTGAGAAGGTTTAGTGTTCTGATTAAGATGATCCCTATAACAGATCTTCAGTTATAAACCACATATAGACAATGGTACACCATATACCCTAGGTGTGTAGTCAAGTAGGCTACATTCCATCTATGTTTAAGTACTGAGAGTCACATGGGGACGAAACAACCTAACAATGCATTTCTCTGACTATATCTATTGTTAAACTGTGCATGACTGTGTAATATGGTTCGAGTACTTGTTCTCATATGTAATCATATCTAAGACTTGTAGTTAACACCATCCTTCAGCACTCTTTAAAAAAAATTTGATTTTTTTTTTTGAGAAAAACAAAGAATCAAAAACATTATTTTTCCACATATGGACACATTCATTAGTTGATTCTTCCATGTGCCCTGACTGGGTACTGAACATGCAAATGTGTAGGTGTACTAGGGCGATGTTCCAACGAAATTCCCTGGCCAAGGCAGCAATATTTTGAAAATTAAATTCTGACAAATTTGTGTGAAGGACTACCAACATTAAACCTACCTTTTTGATATCATTCCAAGCCTTAAGCTTCTTAAGAAGCAAAACAGCCTCTTTGGTTTTCTTGTAGCTTTCAACTTTATCTTCAACCACCAAAGGAAGTTCAGGAACTTCCTCAATACGATGACCTGACAAAGCCAATTAACACTGAGATGGTTACCCTGAATCTTTTGAAAAACTGAAACATTTTATGTAACCTACAAAAGCCAAGTGGTACAACCTGCCAAATCAGAACCTTCCACAAATATCATGTGTTTCAGAAACACGGACCAATTAAGTGGAATCTCATCATTTTGACAGTTGAAAACAGAACAGGCAACATGAAGTGAAAAGTTTTCTAATATACTAAATCACTGTATTTGAATTACTTGCATGTTACATAGTATTCACTGATGACTGATTTGTCAGACTGAACCAAATACTCTGAATACTCTACCAAGAAGGAAATTCAGACACTGGGATGAACACAATTTACAGAGATTATTAACATGAATGAAGAAGTTCAGGTGAAGGAAAACATGGGTATTTTATACCACTCGCGTAATACAAAATATACCACAAACCTTTAGACATGACCAGTGCCGGTAAGGCCGAGGCAGCTAGGGCAGAGCAGATGGCGTATCGTTTCTGTGTTGTGTTCACTCTGCGGTGCCAACGGCGCCAGGTTTTGGTTGGTGCAAACATGCGGCCCCCACGACACATCTATTTTTCTCAGTTAAGAATCACATTTCTCAAATGTTAGGAACTGAAAAAGGTTGTATCTTGCTCAGTAAGAATTTTCGTCACCCTTCTGAACCAGCTTAATGACAGCAGGCAACTGTCGCCGTGAACAGAGTCAGACGCAAATTACGACATCATTGCAAGTAAAACTTTCTAATGCAAAGCCCCTGTTGGCATCTTCCAGATTCCAAGTATGTCTAGAGCTAGCTGGACACTATTAGTATTTTGGATAAAAATATTTTCAAACTACTAACATGAATAAACCAGGATGAACCTGCTAAATTCCACGATGGCCGACAAGTAGGTAATGACCAAAAAAAGATACATTTCCGAAAGCACCCTGGCCAGAACGATGAGTTCCACCACCTCGAACTCTGGGAATTCGAGCCACAGCTCTACCAGTACCCCAAGACTCAGCACTGGTTTGATGTCCTGAAATTGGAAAGAAATCAAGTTTTAGCTACTCAACCATATCAGTGTGACAATTATGCATGGCAGCAAACAGCATCAGAACATCCAGGAAAAAACATCATCGGATTCAGAAACACGGACCAATGGAGTGGAATTTCATCACTGCTGTTAAGCAGCTCTTAAAACATTGAAATGTGAAAGATCAAAATCCATACCTGCCAATTCACTGACAGCATAGGGCTGTCTATTGTTTTTGCGCAAGTTGGTGTGAACAAAGTTCACAATATCTGGTCGAATGGGAGCCTTGAACACAGCAGGCAAAGTGACATTTTTGCCAGACGATTCCCCCTTTTCGGAGTACACTGATATCAGTGGACGAGCACACGCCTGGGGAAAAAAGGAAAAGGTATTTATACTGACAAGAAATGTCAGAAGCACTCTTCTCATGTGCCATCGATGCCGTTAAACCCTCAGTTACAAGAGTCTAGAGTTTGGCGAAGTAGACACTGCCTAAAACTAAAACAAAGGCTGTGTTACAAACACATCTCGTCTTATTAACTTCAATAATTCTTACCTGGAAGAACACTTAGAATCAAGTTGTACTATGTAACTTTCCAAAAGAATGCTTTACCACTAAGCTTTCAAACCAGGGTTTACAAAGTGAAATAATCAAAACACTTTAAGATTTGAGAATGCAGGTTAAAACCAGGACCTACACCTTCACCCCAAATGCCAGCAAATCTGGTCTACAACTCCTAACTTCCATCCTTGCTCCCTTCTTCCTACTCTAAACACATTCTCCAAAACTTACTAGTAAAAACAGTTACTTTTTGCTCAACCTTCTCCAAAGACTTACCAGCTGAAAATAAAACTTAAAGTTCAGAGTATGGCCTATACAATCTGCTCAATCTCCTGACCACTTGCTTCAGATACACTCAGGGTAATAATCTTCACCCTCCTGCCTTGGTGTTTTCTCATTAAAGATATTCCCAGCATGCTTCCTCACCTCCTTCAGGGTACCTTCTATAGGTTTCTGACTGTTTAATGCCCAATTACTGCCTCCTTTCCTATTCCTTATGTGCAAAGCACTCACTACCCTCAAACATTACTGTGAATTTTACACCTAAATCAATTATGATCTAAGCAACACAGGCAGGTTTTTGCCCATTTTGTTCATTAGCAGTACTATAAGCTGGCTGAGTTCTAAAAGATTTGGGGAACACCAATAATAAAATTCTTAAGGGGAGGAGACACCTTTCGATAGAGATTCTTAAGGTGAACAGTCAAGAAATCAGATAAATGGTGGAAAAACAAATATTTAAAAACAAATCTCCCTCAAAAGATGGAATATTCTTTACCAACCAGCACTTGGAGATACAAGGCCTAAAATTGACTCACCACGACTCTTAGGACTCAAGAACTTCCAAGTCTTCAATAGAGCTCGTGCCTTTTAAGACCAAGGAAAGCTAGAATTCCGAAAGACCCTCTGCGCCAGAGAATCATCTGGTGTCTTGCGTTGTTTCCAGGAGCAGGAGCGCCCTGTGCCTGGGGTCCCACGTTGCCTCTAAGATGGCCGCCATATGGCGGCACTACCCTATTCCCCTCAACAAACAGATGCATTTGGTCCTCGTCTCCTTTTCCCTGCTTTCCCTCCATAAGATTTTATGCCCTGAACCCTCAATCCATTCCTGCCGGGCCCAACAGACGAGGAACGACCAGCAAGGAGAAGTTCTACTCACCATGGCGTTGAGAGGAGAGAGCACACTCCTCTCAGCCCGGCGGCTCGCACAGGAAAAGGAAGTACTTAGCACTTCCTCGTTCTATTGTAACCTTCAACTCGCCTCGCATCTTGCTCCGCCTTAGAACAAATCCAGAGATACAAAATCTCTTTCTACCACTCTAAAAAAAAATAAAAACGCAGTATTATTTCTTCATATGGATCACATTACGGTAACTTGACTTCCAAAGTCAACAACAGCTCTTAGAAACGAGGGACTCCTTTTCGCGGAATAATTCATAAGTAGGCGTGTCAACTCTCGCGAGATAAAGTGTCTTCCCTTCAACTACCGTAATGTATTATAGCTTTTTCTTAAGGAAAAGGAAAAATTATAGGGACAGGGAGAATCGCTGTGGGCTGTAAAGGAAAACTTTAACTTGTGAACAAACTGGACCTGTTTTGGGGCCGTAGAAGTAGTCCCGGCGGGGGTGGGGTCATGACTCCGGACGTCACCGACCGGCGCGCAGTTTAGTTTGGCGGTATCGGATCTGCTGCCCGGCGAAGGCGGGATGTGGTCGCCAATCAACCGAGCTGCCGAGGAGTTTTACAATCGTCTCCTGCAGTGAGTTGTAGCCCTTTCTGTTGGCTAGATTGCGCGAACGGCATTACTCCCCCCGGGTATCTCGATTTCTCCCCCTCAAGCCTCTGGCCGCAGCCTTGGGGATTAGCGCCTTGTCAATTCTCAGTGGCGCGTACGTTATAAACTAAGTCAGCTTTCCTGGGTCCGGGAGTTGGGCAGGAGCCGGTTATCCGCTCCAGTGTGGGGTTGGCCCTGTGGAGGCTTCGTTGTAGTCTAGTTTAAGAGAAAATATCTACGTTATCGATCGCGGTGGAAGGTGACAATTTTCCAAGAGGTATTTATTCATTGTAAAAGTGCACACAACTTGCAATGCTAGAGGCACCTTCCAGTATATGGAAAACTGTATGTTGGCATCTTTCATCTGTTTAAAGCCTTTCTGTGGTCTATTCAAGATAGTTATCTTATGAGCCATAGTTACAGTGATAATGTGATGGTGCGTTGGCTTTTTAAAGCACCTTTATTTCACTGTGCTCTCAGATTGCATTTTATTCTTATAGTGAGGTACTGGTACCAAAGGGGATTCCGTCTACTGCATCCAAGTAAAAATGAATCAGATAGTTCTCAAATTTGAGCGTGCATCAGAATCACCTATAGTGCTGTCAAAACACAGATTGCTGGGCTCCATCTCCAGGGTTTCTGATTTAGTAGGTCTGGGTGGGGCCAAACAATTTGCCTTTCTAACAAAGTACAGGTGAAGCAGATGCTGCTGGCTTGACACCACACTTTGAAAACCACTGGTATAATCTAACACCTTTATTTCCTAAATGTTATAAATTTTCATCGTTTATTGCTTTTTTCCTGCTTATAAAAGTGGTCATTCTGGTCAATTTTTTTGATCATTAATATAATGAACACTAGCTTTTTTTTTTTTTTTTTAACTAACAGTGTCTTGGGTAGCTTTCAGTATGAGATCCTATAGGTCTGTTTTTTTTTTTTAAATTAACTGCTGTATAATATTTCATTCTATACTTGAGAAATATACCCATGCTTGAGAAATGATTGTTGAGTGATTGACTAACATCCCTGAGTTATATATTGAAGACAAGTCACAGTCTTGTCCAAAAGAGAAAAAGTGAATCAGTCTCAAGCCTCTCTCTCCTGTTTTTATTTTAGTAGGTCACAGAGTAGATAAAATAATAAATAGTATCCTGAAACAATTCCTTTGGGTTCCTTTAGGTCTCTAAAGATTCTTCCTTTTTTCAGAGTGTAGAGCAGGCTGATGTGCATTTGGGTATGTTAATGATTTATAGTTTTACATGCTTTGGGATCACTATTTTAAAACTTTAAAAAAAAAAGATTTTATCTTATTTTTAGAGGGGAAGGGAAGGAGAGAAACATCAATGTGTGGTTGCCTCTTGTGCGCCCCCTACTGGGGACCTGGCCCGCAACCCAGGCGTGTGCCCTGACAGGCAGTCGAACCCATCACCCTCTGGTTCACAGGCCCACGCTCAATCCACTGAGCCACACCAGTCAAGGCTATTTTAAAAATTCCTTGACTGAAATGGTAATTATTGATGATATTCTACAGGTTTTTGCTTACATTTTAAAAAGAAATTTGTTTAACATTATCAAATTTACTAATGTTTTAGGAACAACTCACAAATGTAGAGGGAGAATACATGCTTCCATTTTAGCCATGGACATCTAGGACCTGGGACCCTTAAATAACTTTACTGTGGTGGCCCACTGATTCATTGGTAGGTCAGAATCCAGTCATTTTACTTCCTAAAAGTCTTGTGGTAAATTGCCTTTTAGTAGTAGCTAGTAATATTTTTAAAAAATAAAAGAGTAGAAGTAGGTACTCTAATTTACTGCTGTCTCTTAGAAGCAGTCATACCCAACTGTGGGCTGCAGTCTATTAATCTCTACTACCATCTCCTTTTTCTCTCTTTTCCATAACCTAATACTCTTTTCTGCTTTTTTCACCTCTCTTCCCAACATAGGACTGCCATGACTACTTTTGCATTTTGCTTTCCTCACTGTTGCCACATAGAGATGAAATGATTACTAACTCCTGAGTTGAAATGATAATACTGTAACTCTGTTTTTCACATGTGGTTCTGCATTCCAGGGAATTTAATGAAGAAAAGAAAGGAATCTGTAAAGACTCATTTATCTATGAGGTATGAAAAACTTATTTGGTTTTCAACATAACTCAATAATCCTAAAGTTGTGAGTTTTAAATAGTAGGGTGTATTGAAGTTAATTTACATAGAGTAAATTTCATCTTTTTAGAGTGTAGTTCTACGAGTTTTTACAAATGCATTCAGTTATACAATGAAGACAGAACATATCTAACATCTCCAAAAATGTCCTCATGTCCCTGTGTAGGTAACCCTTTCCTCTGCTCCCAGGCCCTGGCAACCACTGATGTGTTTTTTTATCTCTGTTTTCCTTTTTCCAGAATTTCATGTAAATAAAATCCTATAGTATGTTGCCTTTTGGATTTGGCTTATATCAATGAGTATAATGCATTTGAGATTCATCTATGTTGTTGTATATATTAGTAGTTCAATCTTTACATTGCTGAAAAGTGCTCCATTGTGTGGATGCACTATAATTTGGTTATCCATTTACCAGTTGATGGACACTTGGATTGTTTCCAGGTTTTGATCGTATGAATAAAGCTGCTATAAACATGTATGTATTTATTAAGCATCTAATATATGCCAACCATTCCATAGGTAAGCTACCCATAAAATCTAACCCATAAAATAATTAGTAAACTAAAATAAATTATACACTAAAAGAGAAATAAGCTGGGGAGAAATAGTCATAAATGATAAGGGTTAATATCCATATATAAAAAACATATGACTCCAGTCAAGATGGTGGCATAGGTAAATATGGCTCACCTCCTTGCACAACCACATCAAAATTACAGTAAAAATATGGAACCACCATCACTCAGAACTTTCAGAAATCAAGTTGAATGAACGTCTGACAACTACAGAATTAAACCACATACATCCAGACTGGTAGGAGAGGCGGGGACGCAGAATGGGTTGGTCCCACATCCATGTGTGGTGGGTAAATATTCAGGAGAGATATATCATGAGTAGGGGTTCCCCCAGCCCAGGGTTCCAGTGCCAAGAAATAAGTCCCCATAACATCTGGCTGCAAAAACCAGCGGGACTGAGTCAGTGGAAGAAACTTCTGGATCCCAAACAGTTCCTTTTAAAGAACCCACACATGGACTTATTCAGACTCACTCTCTCTGAGCCCCAGCACTGGGGTAGCAGCTTGCAGGCACCAGTGGCACACAGGGAGGAACTGAAGTGTCTGGCATTAAGGTGGGAGCTGAAGGACAGCTTTGTCCCAGACAGGCAGGCAGAGGTAGTTGTCCCTTTTCAGAGCCCTCACCCCACAGAGCCACAGAACCACAAAGCCACAAAGCCAGCAGGCAGGTGCCAAATCTGAGATTCCATCAATTTGGCTAACACTGTTTGCCCTGTCCTGGAGATCCAGACACTCCATGCCACCCAACTTATGGACCCACCTAAACTGTTAACTGTGACTTTTCCATATGAATGGCTGGTCTTGGCTCATGCTTCACAGCTTCCTAAATCCTATCAAAAAAGCAACAGTCTACCTCATTAAGCACCCAGCCCCTGTACCTCTTGCTAAGTGGCCCCAGGCCTGGCATTAGCAACAGCTAGCTTAGATTCACAGCTTGGCTTTGCCTGGGAATCTCCAAGCCCAGCACAAGTAGGAACCATCTCAGATTTCTTTATAGCTCAGGCAGGATGGCCCTGGCAGGAACACAGGTAGTGTCTGACCTTAGACTGCATCACCTGGAAAACTCCAGAGCCTGTGCTCTCAGTGGACAGCTATGGATCATGTCAGAACAGCACCACCCTGCCCCTGCACAGCTGATACTCCACAGAGGGTGGAGGTTGGTGGTCAGTGGTCACAGCCAGTCCTTGCAACTAACTGGCCTGGGTAAATCCCTCCCATTGACTTGCCAACAGCAACCAAGGCTCAACTACAAGAGGAGGGTGTCCTCAAACCACACAAAGGGTGCATCTTGGCTACCCATCTTGGGTGATAGGGCAGGCTGTGCCACTGGACCTTATAGGACACCTATCAGATTGGTTCTCCCTGCTATCACAGGGAGCCATAGCAACTCTACCTAATACATAGAAACAAGTACAGGGAGGTTGCCAAAACAAGGAGACAAAGAAACATGACCAATGAAAGAACAGATCAAAACTCCAGAAAAAGAGCTAAATGAAATGGAGATCAGCAGTCTATCAGATGCAGTGTCAAAACACTTGTTATGAGGATGCTCAAGGAACTTAGGATCTCAGCAGCATAAAAAAGATCCAATCAGAAACAATGAATACACTAATTGAAATAAAGAACAACTTACGGGGAAACAACAGTAGAGTGGATGAAGCCAAGAATCAATGATTTGGAATATAAGAAAGTAAGAAACAACCAATCAGAACAACAAGAAAAATAAAGAATGCAAAAAAAAAAAAAATGAGGATAGTGTAAGTAGCCTCTGGGACAACTTCAAGAGGTCTAACATTTGCATCATAGGGGCGCCAGAAGGAGGAGAGAAGGGCAAGAAATGGAAATCTATTTGAAAAAATAATGAAGGGAAACTTACCTAATTTGGTGAAGGAAATAGACATGCAAGTCCAGGAAGTACAGTGAGTCCCAAATAAGATGGCTACAAAGAGGCCAACTCAAAAGAAATCATAATTAGGTGGGGTGGAAATGGGAGGGAGGTGGGGAAGGATGGGGGGTGGGCTGGGATGGGAGTAAAAGAAAACTGTACTTGAACAACAATTAAAATAATAAAAAAATAAAAGACTGAAAACGTAATTAAAATGCCAAAAGTTAAAGATAAAGAGAGAATCTTAAGAGCAGCAAGAGAAAAGCAGTTACCTACAGGGGCGTTCCCATAAGACTGTCAGCTGATTTCTCAAAAGAAACTTTGCTGGCTAGAAGGACTTGGCAGTAAATATTCAAAGTCATGAAAAGCATGGACCTACAGCCAAGATTGCTCTTCCCAGCAAAGCTATCGTTTAGAATTGAGAGGTAGATAAAGAGCTTCCCAGAGAAGAAAAAAACTAAAGGAGTTCATCATCACCAAATCATTACTATATGAAATGTTACAGAGACTTATTTAAGAAAAAAGAAAATCAAAACTATGAACAATAAAATGGCAAAAATACAATCTATCAACAGATGAATCTAAAAAACAAATTAAGCAAACAGGAAAAACAGACAGAATCATGAATATGGAGAGTGTTTTGAAGGTTGCCAGATGGGAGGGGACTATAGGGGAATGGGTAAAACGGTGAGGAGATTAATAAGTATAAATTGGTAGTCACATAATAGCCATGGGGATATAAAGTACAGTAGGAAGTGGAGTAGCCATAGAACTTACACACATGACCCATGGACATGAACAATGGTGGGGGGATTACCTGAGGGAGTGGGGGGTGCTGGGTGGAGGGGAGCAAGGGGGAAAATTGGGACAACAGTAATGGCATAATAAGGCAATTAAAAAATAAATAATCATTCATACATTCATTTGATATACAGTGACTGCATAATATATGCTAGAAAAAAACAAAAACCTCTTTAAAATCAATTAGAAAAAGACAACTATATTAGGACACAAGTAATCACAGGGAGAAAAATACAAATATAGTTATCTTCACTATCTGAATTCTCACTAACCAAACTCAGAAATTCATTAGATTCAGGTAAATGTATTGATCCTTCCCTATATGAATTCTTGCCACTTGATACCTGAATTAATTTCTTAGGGCTACTGTAACAATGTCCCACGAATTGGTTTGCTTAAAACATCGGAAATACATTCTCTTAACAGTTCTGGAGACCAGGAGTCTGGAATCAAGGTGTCAACAGGGCTGTGTTCCCACTGGAGGCTCTGGGAAAGGTTCTTTTCTTGCCTCCTTGCTTTTGGTGCTTTCTAACAACCTTTGCTCTCTGAACTTGGTATCTAAATGCTTCAATATCCAAAACAAATTAAACAGACTTAAACAGTGAGAGATATTTGTCAATAATAAGCATATTAGAGACTATTCACTTTCATTAGTAATCAAATAAGTGAAAATTAGAACAATAACAGGATACTATTTCCTGCAATGAGATGGTAAAAATGAAAATGCTCAAGTGTTGATATAGGTCATAAGAATGCAAATATCTGGGTATGGTGTATTTGAAAGGTAATTTGACAATATCAATATGATTTTATATATTCATCTTAAGAAAGTAATTCAAGATGACCATTAACAATTGTTTATTATAGCAAATAACTTGAAACTACCTAAATGTCAAACAGTGTGAAATTAGTTATATGAGGGTAGAGCCATGATACTACTGGACAGCCAGAGACCATTTAATGGCATGAAATTTTCATGACATACATGTTTTAAAAAATTTTTATCCTCACCCAAGGATATTTCTCATTGCTTTTAGAAAGAGGGAAAGGGAGAGAGAGAAAATCAGTTGGTTGCTTCCCATACACACCCAGACCAGGGATCATACTCATCTGCACTGGGGGTCTAACCCACAACCTTTCCGTTACCTGACAATGCTCCAACCAACTGAACCCCACCAGCCAGGATAGGAATATCCTGTTTTTATTAAGCAAAATTATCTGACAGTGCTCCAACCAACTGAACCCCACTGGCCAGGGCAGGAATATCCTATTTTTATTAAGCAGAATTCTATCTAGATATCTAAATACTGGATACATTTTTATTTACATAGGTTTGTTTATATGCCTGGAAAAAGTGCTGGCAAATTATGTGCCAATAAATCTAATAACAGTAGTGATTACCCTGGCTAGTGGAATTATAGGTGAGTTTTTAAACATTTCTTTTAGCTTTCTATTTTCAGACTTTTCTACAGTAAATGTGTATTGTAATTGGAATGAAGGAGTATAAACTGATAAAGTTCTAAATTCCATATTCTAATCAGAAGAGAGGATAATATTTTATAAAGGGTTAATTTTGTGGTACATAGCAATAAATTCAGAAATGATTAGAGGAAAAGGCAGTCAGTGTGATCCTAATTAAAAAAAAAAAAAGACTACAAGGCAGAGTGCAATTTAGGTGGGCCTTGAAGCATGTGTAGGTATAGATATGAGCTACATTTTCTAAAGATGAAAAATGATATGGGCAAAAAAATTACTTGCATAGAACTGGTCTTTATTTAAATATTTGTACAAATATTAAACCCAGAAAACATTGCTTGACATCCTCTGTTTTTACTAGGCTGATGTGCAAGTGCAGTTGATCAGCAAAGGCCAACCAAATCCTTTGAAAAATATTCTAAATGAAAATGATGTAGTATTCATCTTGGAAAGAGTGGTGAGTGGTTCTTGGCCTTTGTGGTGGTTTCATTGTTAATTTGGTTTTGTGGGAATAATCTCAAGTGTAAATATATATGTATTTTTAAAGATTTTATTTTTTTTATTTTAGAGGGGAAGGAAGGGAGAAAGAGAGGGAGAGAAACATCAATGTGTGGTGCTTCTCACACGCCTCCTACTGGGGACCTGGCCGGCAACCCAGTCCTGTGCCCTGACAGGGAATTGAACCAGTGACACTTTGGTTCACAGACTGGCACTCAACCCACTGAGCCACACCAGCCAGGGCTCAAGTGTATACATTTTTTATCAGCATATTATTTAAAAGTGAATTCTAATTCTTTTAGGAATAAGTATAGTGATGTTCAATAGAAATATAATATGAAACACATATATAATTTAAAACTTTCTGGTAGCTTCATTAAAAAATAGATAAATGATACCATATGGTAATATTTACTTTTAAGAATGTTATGGATGGAATCATACAGTGTGTAATCTTTTGAGTTTGGCTTTCACTCAGTATAATGCCTTTGAGATTCTTCCAAGTTGTATGTCAATGGTTCATTTAATTGTAAAGTGGTGTCTCATGAAATGGATATACCACAGTTTATTTACCTGTTCACCCTTTGAAGGACATTTGGGTTATTTTCAATCTTCAGTGATCCTGAAAAGAGCTACTATGGTAATTTTTGTTCAGATTTTTTGGTGCATTTAACTTTACAGTAAGTACTCGGATGTGGGATTGCTGGGTGTGCAATTAGGTTTAGTAATTTTTTAAAAATTTAATCTATCTGAAATTATAATTTCAACACCTAACTAATGTAAAAATCATTAATGAGATATTTCAAGTTCTTTTTTTCCATGCTATGTCTTGAAAATCTGATATGTATTTTACATGTCTATCTCATTTCAAGTACTCAGTAGCCATGTGGCTAATGGCTATTGTGAACTGAACAGCACAGCACAGCACAAGTAACTATGATTCATGAAGTTCTAATTTAATTTTGTTTAGCTGTAACAAGAAGAAGGAACTTCTTATTTTGCATCACTTTATAATTACAACCTTAAACCTTTTTGCTTTAATTATGGTAACTGATTGGCAGTTGTGGTTTTTGTTGAGTGCTGATAATGCTGTCACATTACAGGGTTGCTTGGGGCAACCATTCCTTTGGTTACATCATTTCCTGGGGTAGATGGGAACCGGCTGTAATAGGGGAAAGTGGATGCTCCTGTAGAAGGACCACCTCTGTCTGCTTTGGGACCCTCTTGCTGTCCAGACAGGCATGGCAGTGAATGAACAAGCTCTTTATTTTGAACACACAGGCAAAGACTTTCTGAGGAGGGAGCTCCTTTGTCTTTTATGTTAATGCATGGGTGTTATCCGTGCTTATCTGTGGTGGACAAATGCTAGGAAAATAATTCAAAGTGAAGATGTGGTTGAATTTAGACTTGTGTTATGAGCACAAGGGGAAATGTATGTACGTAAAGCAAAAGCTGAAAAAAATGATGATGGTTAGATGAAGATAAACTGTCTTGAAAAGGGTAAAGATGAACAGAGGGCATTTGTGGAAAACTGGGCTAGGATACTGGGGAGAATGCCGCTTAGAGTTAGGAGTTACCTGGAATTCAGTGAGGCCTGGCATTTTTGGGTAGGGAACAATTAAAATGGCCTTTGTTTCTGCAAAGATCAGTAGGGCTTAATGCATGAGTGTTAGCTACATAACTGTTGGAAAGTAGGACAGAGGAAAAAAGTGATTTTGGGGGGTACCTTTAGTTCTAGGAACTTTTTGGAAAGCCAGGCCTGGAAGGGAATGAAGTCTAGAATATGGCAAAAGAAATTCAAAGTTGAGGAAGCATCTAGGTTTGATTCCTATTAAATTGATAGAGGACTTAGTGCCAGAAGAGACTACCTATTCAAATGCTGGCTTTGCACTCAGCAGCTCTGTTATTATCCTAGGCAAGTTATTTAGCCACTCATTACCTGTTTTCTCATCTCTGAAACAGCGTTAATAATAGGATCTATCTCAGGGCTTTTATGAAGAATAAAATAAAACAGAGTGGTAGCTGATACCTAGTTATGCTTAGGAAATGTTAACTTACAATTATTATTGGCAAGACTAAGCTAGTTATCTAGTTAAACACATAGATATCAGAATCCTATAACAAAGAGAGTTGATAGCCCTAAGAGGAACAGCTTTAAGGAACCTTTGCATTTTGAAAGTGAAGAATTCAACAAAACCAGGGAGCTTCCTGTGGGTTCCCCTCATATTTGGTCTTCAGGTTATCATTAGGTACAAGTCAGTGCACTTTTTTTCCTAATGGCATCAGATGGTTCCACTCAGAGCAATATCTTCTAATAGGAAATACTTCTGATGGCAAGATGTGTTGGTACCAAACTGGTTTGTAGGTATGGTTTTTGCAATAGCCAAATCGTTTGTGCTTAAAGTTTTAGAAATCAATGCATTATGTTCTAGCATAATGAAGAGTTGACTTTTATGTTCTTTTACCTGGCTAAATACTTTTAAAACATTTTTTTAAAGCCTTTAGAAAAGGAAGAAACAAGTCATGTTGAAGAGCTACAATCTGAAGAAACTGCTATTTCTGATTTCTCTACTGGTGAGAATGTTGGACCACTTGCTTTACCAGTTGGGAGGGCGAGGTAAGTTTTTTTCTTAGTGTCAGGGTAGGAATAGAGGTGGAGGGTAGTACCTTAAATTGAAGTATTCTTATAAACATCAGGGGAAAAGATGTGTCTAATGCAGGTCCTTCCCTCCTTCCTTCCTCCTCCTCCTAGATATGTATATCCAGGTCTACTGGATATCCCATTGACCGTCCCAAACATGACCAAGAAGGCTGCGGTGATCTTTCCTTTCTCCAGTCTCCTATACTGTTTGCTGTCGCTTCTTAAATGTTTTCCTTGTGTCTAATCTGGTTCCCCTCCAATCTTTCTTCCTCCACATTGCCAAGAAAGTTTGATCGAGTTTCTTCCCTACTTGTAAATCCCTCAGCAGTTCTCACTGCCTCATAATAACATCCAGATTCCTTTTAAGTGATGCATAGGAGCCTTCCTTGTCTAGTCTAGTGGTCTTCCACCAGGGGTACCATGCGCAGTGTGGGCATTTGGGAATTTCAGGGGTACTCTTTGGTTACCATAATGATTGAGGGGAGCTATAGGCCTGGGCCATGGATTGTAAACATCCTGCAATGCATGGGGTTCTCTTGCCCAGTGAGGAATATCCTACCCTGTTAGAAACCCTTTTACCTCTCTGCCTTGCCAGCTTCACTTCCTGCCTCCTCCCTGTGTAGCCATATGCAGTTCTCTCTGCCTGGCCTCCCCTAGTTCCAAAACCAAAAAGTCCTTGCTATCAAGGAGTTCTGGAGGATATAGTCATAAAAATAATAACATTTAGACAATAATAACTGTAATAACAATATTCACAAAGTGACCTTTCTTCATGATGGTTTTTGTTTTACTATGTAGAAGCTTTTAACATTTTTATGTAGTTAAATTAATCAAGCATTTTCTTTCATGGCATCTTGATTTTAAATCACACTTGGCCTTTTTTCTTTTCTCTCCCACAACTGAAACATCATTTATTTATATTGTTTTCTCCAGCCAGTGTTTGTTGGGATTTACCCATGTGCTTATCATTTCTTTGCTCTCTATTTCTTCTGGCATTTCAGACCTTCCTTCTGGGATTATTGTATTTCCCTTTTGAAGTTCAGTCCCTTAGAAATTCCTTTCCTGAACATCTGTTGGTAATAAATTCAGTTTTCATCTGTTTAAAAAGAAATTAAACCACATTTTCGCAACTTACTTTTGATATACTTTCAAATTTACAGAACAGTTACAAGAATAATATGGGAACTTCTGTATGTCCTTGACCGAGTTTCACCAGTTATTTACATTTTGCTATATCTGCTTTGTCACTCTTTTTTCCTTTTTCTCTTTCCTCCTCCTCCTCCCCCACTCCCACTGTCTATATAATATATATATCTTACACACACCATTTTTTTAGTATGTTGGAGATATTGTACTTCTTTACCCCTAAATGCTTCACTATGTATTTCTTAATAACAAGTACATTTTCTTATATAGCCACAAAACAATGATCAAAATCTGGTAATGTAACATTGTTACAATACTTTTATTTAATTCACTTTCATTTCCTTAAAGTGTCCCAGTGACTAATAACTTAGAGCATCTTTTCATGTGCTTATTGGCTCCTACTTCCTTTCTGGCTCCTACTTCCTCCCCCCCCCCCCCAGCTTTACTGAGAGAGAGTGACATATCCTACTTGTTTCCTTAGCTTAATCTCATACCATACTTCCGCTTTGACTGCATTGAACTCCCTGCTGACAGCTCCCATCGGTCTGTCACTTTCTGGTGTATGAATCTTGGTCTGCCTCATGTGCCCGTCTCTCACTTCTTCATTGGGTGTAATATTTATATGCATTCTGCCACTTAATTTTTAGACTTTTGTTTCTGGGAGACCCTTCATGATATGATATCTTTGGAAAAGAAAATTCTTGACTGATCGGCAATCTCTACCTATGATTAATACTTTCTACTCTTGTTTTCAAGGCAGTTAATTGGACTTTACACCATGGCTCACAATCCTAATATGACCCATTTGAAGATTAATCGGCCAGTTACTGCCCTTCCTCCCCTTTGGGTAAGGTGTGACAGCTCAGATCCTGAAGGGACCTGTTGGCTAGGAGCTGAGCTTACCACAACCAATAACAGCATTACAGGAATTGTCTTATATGCGGTCAGTTGTAAAGGTGAAAGCTCACTCTTACTATTTTATTGGGTGTGTGTGTGTGTATTTATTTATTTGGTAGTTATTGTTTTGTGGGTTTTATTGGAAGTTGATCTCATGAAGAGGGAAATGCACACCATAGAACTTGTGTTAGCCACCATGAATGAATCTACTCCAATGTGGAACTTGCAGCATGTTGGCAATATTCCAGAAACACCAGAAACAGATCTCCAAAAGTCTGGGCAGGGGTTCATGGCTGTTTGTTTCAGTTTCATTTGATTTGTATATTTTTGGGAATTTTTCATTAGAGGATAAAAAATTGAATGTAGTGACAATATAATTCCAATCTCATAATAGGCATACAGTTATATTTTTGGTGGTAGTATTGACCTTTGTCTCACTTTTATTCTTTTATAAACATTTCTTTCACCTATGATTTAAAATTTAATCTCAGCTATTATTAGTGTTAAGTTGTGGTACCCTCGGAATTTGAATTTTATAGTGCTAAGATGTAATTTTGAATTGTAAATTTCTTTCTTTCTTTCTTTCATATCCCATAGCTGATAAAAGTTATTCTATAAATCTTGAAGAGTTAAAAAATTCACATAAGAAAAGACATCACTTGTCTACTGTAAGTATTTCTCTTCTCATATTACTTTCTTCAAACTGTTATTGACCTACCTTCTAGTCTAAAGGTTTTTTACTCCTAATATGACTACGTATTTTTCTGTAGTTTCAAAATATTTGTATTTATTTTCATATCAGCTAATGACTAAAATTAAAATATATGTCTTCTTGCCTTTTTGCTAATCTTTGTGTTTAAAAATAATTGCCTTATTTTTCCATTTGGGATGAAAGTATGGCATGTTTTCTTCTTTTGGGAAAAGAATCAAAGTACTTTTGAAAATGGTCTTTGGTTTTGTGAAGCATAGTTGCTGGTGTACTGGATGCGCTTTTCCAGGTTACAGCCAGGGGCTTTGCCCAGTATGAGCTCCTGAAGTCCACTGCCTTGGATGATACAGTCCCTGCATCACAAACTACGATCACTTTGGATATTTCCTGGAGTCCTGTGGATGAGATTCTTCAGATCCCTCCACTCTCTTCAACTGCAACTCTGGTAGGAGTGAGCCCTGTTTTTTGTTGAGTTTACTCAACGTAGGTTTACTTTTAACTTGCTTGTTGCTGGTGCTGCATGTTTCCAGCCCTAGCCCTTCTCTGACAGAGAAGCCAGTGGAGGTTTTGCCAGGTGATCTGATGTATCAGTTGCCCACAGCACTGCAATTATGTAACTTAAGAATTTCCCAGTGATTAATGAAGTCCCTTGAGTTGGGACTCAAGTGAATTTATCAAAATGACTTCTCTCTGCTACTCTTTTTATTATTTCTTTCTATTTTTCAATTATAGCAGACATTCAATATTATACTAGTTTCAGGTGTACAGCATAGTGGTAAGACATTTATAAAACCTACGAAGTGATTTTCCTGGTTAAGTGTAGTGTCTACCTGGCACTATACACAGTTATTACAATATTTACTGTGTTCCCTATGCTGTACTTTACATCCCCATCATCCGTGCTAGTCTTAAAAGAGTGCCTATATTGGTAGTACATCAAGAATTATTGTACTATTAAGCCTTTTGACCCTATAACATTTCTAGGAATCTGCCTTAAGAAATTAATCAGAATTACTAACAAAAATATATGTACAAAGCTATTCATAGTCATATAGCTGTGTTTCCAAAATATTAAAAACATAACCTGAATGTTCAGTAGATAATGACTAGTTGATTTCTATCATGAAATACTACACATTCTTGGGGATGGCTGGGGTCGGGGGAAGTGGTGGGGGGAAAAGGGAGATAACTGTACTTGAACAATAAAAAAAGGAAATGTTACACATTCTTTAAAATCATTATTTAAAGTATCTTTAATAATAATAGGAAATGCTTATTAAGCAGAAAAAAGTAGGAAGTACAAAAGTGAACATGTAGTAGAATCGCAACTATGTTTTTAAGAAATGTGCAGAGCAGCCTGGATAGTGTTAATAATGGTTCCACAGGGTGGCGAGGTTATGGGTAATCATATTCTCAATGCTTTTCTTTTCCTTCAGTAGGTATTCACATACAACACAATTTAATTTTTCTTTTTTTTTACTCCCCTTTTTTATAAATGATATCTTAGGGTTGAAACCATTGACCTCCAGGTAGGGCAGTACATTGTTGGTTTACTTAGAGTCTAATGAACATACTTGTCAGGGAGGTTTTAGTTTTGGTGTGTGGTAATGCTAAGTTTATCGTTAAGTCTGGAGCTATGTTTATATTTCTCCTACTTGTCCTTTGGCAGTCCAGTGGGAGGGATCAGGAGAGTGTGTGACGAGAGCAGTTGTTCCATACAGGTGCACTTGTGGTGAAGAAACGGGGTTTGATGGCCTGAATTTAGGTTACTATGTTGGGATGGGCAGATCTGTGGTATCTCAGTGTGAGAGGTTCTCAGTGAAGTTTTGCCCTACATTTTCAGTTTACTCATGCTTTATGAAATATATATTTTTAATATGTGGGTAGTTTGAAATACAAGTAATTATGACCCTCATGCTGAGAACATGAGATTACCAGCAAAAACTGATTTTGGGAACTTTTTAGAATATTAAAGTGGAATCGGGAGACCCCAGAAGTCCTTTGAGTCATCTTCACAGAGAAGTGAAATTCCTCCTTGTGAGTATCCTTCTGGAATTTGTAACTTGCATTAAATCTCATGTTTTCACAAAAATGTTTGCTAATATCATTGTTATTTAGTTTTGTATTCCTCAAAATTTATTCCAAATGTTATGTATGCATTGGATACGCTTGACAGTTTGGGCAGTTTAATTTTTCTATGTGGTAGTTACCCTTACATTTAAAGGGAACATTAGTTAGATCATTAATAGCTACAATTCTTTGGCATTTTTTACTGCAGTGTTTGCTTTTATTTATATGATGGATTCCCCTCCTTACAGGTAGGTTAGCTGCCAATTTATTTCAAATGCATATATAATCTGCTTGTTGATAACTTGAGGTTTTTAAAAATATATACATGTATATTTTAATCCTTACCTAAGATATGTTCATTGATTTTTAGAGAGAGAGAACCAGCCTTTGGTTCACAGACTGGCACTCAATCCACTGAGCCACACTAGCCAGGGCTATTCAATGTTTTTTAGTATACTTACAGAGTTATATAACAATGACCATCTTTAATTTTAGACCATTTTCACCACCCCCAAAAGAAATCCCATAGCCATTAGCAGTGACCACCCACGCCCACCAACTGCTGGCAACCACTAATGTACTTTCTGTAGTGCTCTGTTCCTTTTTATTGCTGAATAGCTTCCATTGTATAGCTATATCACACTTTGTTTATCCATTTATCAGATGAACATTTCAGTTGTTTCTATTTTATGGCTATTCTGAGTAATGCTGCCATGAACAGTCGTATACATGTTTTTGTGTGACATCTTTTCATATCTCTTGGGTGGATTTGCTGTGTCATATGGTAACTTTTGGAGGAACTGCCAGACTGTAACTGTTTTCCAAAGTGGCTGCACCACTTTACATTCCTACTAGCAGAGTATGAGGGCCCAATTTCTCCATATTCTTGCCAACACTTGATATGATCTGCTTTTGTTTTGTTTTTGTTTTTGTTTATAATCATCTTAGTGGGGATGAAGTGGTATCTTGTTACGTGGCAGTGCCCTGTTGGCTAATGACTTTCAGTATCTTTTCATGTCCCTATTGGTAGTTACCTTTTTCTTTAGCTTAATTTAATGTTCTACTTCCACTCCCACTGAACGCCCCAACCCTCACCGTATTGAGCCCCATGCTTGTAGTAGCTCCAATCCTGTCATACTTGGTCACTTTCTGGTGTTTGTGTGTCTTCATCCACTGGGTGTGCCCTTCACGCCTCTTTCTGGGCGAGCTCTCTGTGATGTCTTTTGCTTAGGATGGTTGCACTGATCCCCTAGAATGGCTTGTGGTGCCTTGTGCTGCTATAGAACTCTAACAACTCTTGTCAGAGTATTTATTAATCACAGTAATTTGTCTACTTATCTTTCTTCCTTACTAGACTTCAGTGCCAAGTACCCTGTTGTGCTTCAGCATCTAGTGTAGTACCAAGCATTTTAAATAGCTTGGTACTATTATTTATTATTATTATTATTCCTTCCTATTATGATTTCCCTGTTTGTGCAAAACTTGGTACTTTTTCTACCCTTCTCACTTTTCTTCTTGAAAGCTCCTCTTCCAGGATTGTTCCTGTGGGCCGCCATCATATGTCTACCCTCCTGTCTCTGCCCTTCTCTCCACCTGGGGAAATGTACAGATCACTTGTACATTCAGTGATTTGACTAATGCCTTTATGAGGGAACTCCACATCCCTTCTTTAAGCCGATACTAGTTCCCATCTTTTCTACTCCCATCAAATTATTTGCAACTTGAGTAGAGGGTTATTGCCTCAAATTCAGTATGTCCAAAATGAAACATGAAATCTTCTCCAAACTAGATCTCCAGACTAGGAACCCCTGTGTGGTTCCACCATTCCTTCAGTTTCACTTATATATTGATCCTTGAACAACTTGGGGGTCAGGGGCGCATACCCTTCCACCCCCAGCATGTTTGGCAATTCATAACTTTTTACTCCCCTGAAACTTAACTACTAATAGTCTTCTGTTGACTGGAAGCCTTACCAATAAGATAAACTGTTGATTAACACATTTTATATGTTACATGTATTATACTATATTCTCACAATAAAGTAAGCTAGGAAAAAGGAAATTTTTAGAAAATTATAAGGAAAAGAATATACATTTGCTGTATTTACAGGGGGGAAATCTGCGTATAAGTGAACCCGTGCAGTTCAAACCCCTGTTGTTCTTGGGTCAACTGTATTTTACTTTAGTAAGAACTGTCCATGCCAACCTCCACTTATTACCACAGCTGGAAGCTGCCACTCTGCTGTGTGCCAAACATGGGGTGCTAGATGGCTTAGTTATTTTGCCTGAGGCATTAGCACTGGTGAGTGAAAGACCTGGTTCAAAACGCATTCAAATACATGTTTGTCTATCTGACTCAAAAGTCCGTGCTGTTATAATCTCTCTTGTATATTCACAGAATCTTAGATATATATAGGGACATAGTCTCTCCAAGTTCAGCCTTCTGTATTTTTATGAAAGGGTAGGATTTTTTCTTTTCTTTTATTCCACATACATTCCCTCCCTCTCTCCCTCTCCCTCCCCCTCCCCCTCTTTTCCTGGAATATACTGTTCTTTTCTTCCTTTAAAGCTTCACTCACTGTGCCCATCTTAGTTAAAGCTTGTATCACCTCCTCCTAAACCACTCTAATGATTATATTGTTTCTCTGCAGGGACACTATTGATGTTTTGGGCAGGACCATGCTTTGTAGTTTGGGACCTTTGTACATGTTGCAAAATGTGTAGTGTCTTTGGCCTCTATCACATTAAATGCTCAAGATGCTCCTGTACCCCCAGATATTGTGACACCAAAAATAATTTGCATATTTTTCCAAATTCCACTTGAGGGTAGAGGATGAGATCAATTCTGTTGAGAAGAATTTACCTTCTCTTTTCCTTTGACTCCATCCTGGGTATTTCTGGTAGAAGAATTCTTAACTACTTGATTGTGTCATTCACTTGCCAAAAAATTGAGTGGCTTTTGTCTTCCATGTGAAATAAAAAATATTTTTAAGTTTTAAGGTCACTATTCCTGTGTAGCCCCTTTTCTTTGTAATCTTTTAGTGTTCCCTAGGTGTTGTCTCCACCTTGGTTGGAGTCATCCCACCCTCTCCGCCTCGTTCCACGCTCCTTCCCTGCCCTGTAGCCGATGGTTTGGTTCTCGTGTTTGGAATTGAGCTGAGGTTTCACATTGTTCTCCTGGCTATTTCAGCATATCTTGACTTCCTTTCCTTAGTATTTCAGTTTAAATATTGAATGTATGGACATACACACTTATATTATTTTCATGTAAATTACTTCCAGTTCACTTTACATTTGTTGTTCCCAGTGATTTCATCTGTATTATCAGTCCTTCTTAACCAAAATTACAAGCATCTTCAGGGCAGGCTCATCAGTCTTGCATCCTGTGGCATCTGCGCACATGGCGCCGTGGTTTAGAACACCATGTTTAGATGTGTGTCCTGGCACTGTCGGTTACCAATTGTTTGTCCAGAGGCGAGTTACCTTCGCCTCTCTCAGCTACAGTAAAGGGAAGGTGGATAGCAATGTCTGCCTCATAGGGTTGTTGCGAGGATTAAATAATATACTACAGGGTCGGCTTTATTTAGCTCAAGCAGTTACTTCGTCATGGCAGACACCCAGTATCATACTACATATGAAACACTTAGAACAGTTCCTGGCACGTGATTAAACACTCAAGAAATACTAGTATTAAATAGATCCTTACTGATTAAATTGCTTTCCACTAACAAGCTTTTGGGTTTTTTAAATCTCCCATAGGTTTTGGCTGATGGTTTGAGGACTGGTATAACTGAATGGCCTGCGCCTCTAGAAGCAAAATCCGCCGTTGAACTTGTGCAGGAATTTCTGAATGGTGTTTGTTTTCCTAATTCATGCTTCTACATTGTTTATTTTTCTTAATTGGGAATATATACTTGCTATATTTAAATATAAGTTGTCTTTTTAGGCTTAATATTCTTTTTGGTTGTGATATATAAACTATGAAGTCTGTCATGGTCAGAAGGATGGCTTTTATTCTGAATTGCTGATAATAACAGCCTAAGTAATTTTAACAGTAAGTTATATACCACAGCCATATGTAAGATTGTAGGAGAAGAGGAAGGGAACAGTGACCTTTGAGCACCTACCACGTACACAGTGCTGTGTGTCAGGGGCTTTCCCTCTACCTGAGTTCATCCTTACACCCCTACCTAGTGGGCACCTATTATGACTTCCACTGGGGAGTTACGTAATGTGCTAAAATCCCCAGTTATACTTTTACTGTCCTCATTTACCATTTGAAAAAAAGATTAGAATGGAAATAATTTTGAAAGCAGGAAAATAATACCCAGAATTAATAAGCTTTTGCCCCTTTCTAGACTTAAATAAGCTGGATGGATTTGGTGATTCGACAAAGAAAGACACAGAGGTAAATGACTGTTAGCATTTAGAAATGTACACTGAAATAGCTTTTAAAATGTGGTTGTACAGGTAGTTATCTTTCATGCTGTACCATCCATGTCAAGTGGACCTGGTACAGCAGAAGCAGTGTTTTGGTCTATAATGGCAGCACTGGTGATTGTTTTTCTTAAGGGCTGACAAATACTTTTGAACAGAACTAATACATTTGTATTATTTCTCAACTGCAGAGAAGTAGAAATGAACATGTTAAAAAATTATAACATGGTATTACTTTAGTATATTAATATAAGACAGCACATTAATGTGCTAGATAGAGATGGTATTACTAAATTAAGCTAATTATGTTGTCATTTGATGCATGGAAAAATGGAAACAACAGTAATTTAATTAAATATTTTAACAGGAAGGGAAGCTGGTGTTTGTTTTTAGGCATTACAAACAATTTTAGCAGCCCAGTTCTTCATTGTCTATTGATTTGTAGCTCCCCGTAGTGCTACAAAGTAGTAGCTCCCTGTAGTGCATGAAGCTGTAGAAAATTCATTCACATCTTTCTTTGTGTGTGTTCATGGGTCCACATTTTCTCAGAGCAGCATTTGAAAGCTTACTGGCCTTAAACTATTTCACTAAAAAAAAATTAAACTGAGTGTTCCCTGACACTTTTTCAGACGGTGAAGCACGACAGTGCTGCGTTGGATCGTTCCATTGAGTGTCTTTTCACAGTGCGGTGTGATCTCGATTTTGCTGAGCAGCTGTGGTGCAAAATGAGTAGTAGTAGGTGTCTGTCATGACTGCAAAATAAAAATTTTTCCTTTTACTTCTTAGGTTTACCTTTTTTTTTCAGACTATAAGAGAATGTTTATTTACAAAGTCACAGAGGTAAAAGTGGACCAGCTATGGAAGAAATGGGCTCAGAGAACAATATACAGAGGCAAAAGTAGGGCCCTTGGAGCTTAGGAGAGAGCAAGGTGAAGACAACCGTATGAGGGGGCTGGGGGAGAAGAGGAGGAGGGAAAAGGCAGCATGGGCATGCTCCCTGGAGGGAGAGTGCACCAAGGTTTACTTTTTTTTTAAGACTTTATTTATTTTTAGAGAGAGGGGAAGAGAGAGAGAGAGAGAGGGAAAGAAACATCAGTGTGTGGTTGCCTCCTGCACACCCCTTACTGGGGATCTGGCCTGCAACCCAAGCATGTGTCCTGCCTGGGAATGGAACTGGCAACCCTTTGCTTCACAGTCAGGAGCTCAATCCACTAAGCCACATTGGCCAGGGCCCGGCTTTACTTTTAATTAAGTCTTTTGGAAATAATACAGTGTGTACTACTAGTTTTGTGTGCAAGTCTAGTTCCTGTTTCACAAACTTATGATGCACTGCCACATTCTACTGAAGAATTGTGCTAATCATATAAGAAAGTTGGTAGAATCTATTTTTTTCTTCCTCAAGTATAAGACATAGGGGGTTTTTAAGCTGTGTTTATATGAACCAAATCATACACCTTAGTGCAATTATAAATTATTAGAGAAAGGAAAAGGTATTTCTGAATATTTTACTAAGCGTGTTATTTTGTGGCAATAAGTTTAATTTCTTTCTTTAGAAATGCATTGTCTTTTTGCCATTTTCTTTCCCTTCCCCATCCATACCGTACAGATACTTATCTTTTTCATTTGTGTGGCCTTAAGATTAATGACATATTTGATCTGCAGAAATACCTTGAAAATAATGTTACTGACTTGTTTTTCAAGGTGTGATTTCATATCAAGACCTGGTGAAGTGTTTCACGTTGATCTACCAGAGTCTACAGCGTGGTGATGTACAGCCATGGGTGGGTTTAGTAGTTTGCGTTCAGTGTTGTCACAGCAGAATGGCACCATTGTGTAAGGGCACAGACTCGGGGGCACACTGCCTGACACTGAATTCCAGGGCTGTGACTGACTTACTAGCTGCACAATCTTGGGCAGATGCCTTTATTGCTTTGGGAGCTAGTTTCCTCATCTGTGAAGAAGTAATAGGAATAATACCTACTTCAGAGTGTTGTTTTAGGATTAAACAATTTAATTTATGTAAAGCTTTTAGCACCCAGCTAATAGTAAGTGTTCAGTATTTGTAAGCTACTAATATTATCGTTGTTACTATTGCTGTGAATGATAATTCTCATATACTGCTGATGAAGGAACAATTTGGAACCCTCTAGAAAGCAGTTTTCATAACGATCCTGAAAAGGTGTCATTCCATTTGAATGAATAATTATTTTGTTAGGATCCATCCTAGGCTTATGCACAGAAATGTGTATTGAGATTTTATGTATCAGAATAATCATTAGAGCTTCAGTCAGAGCAGCAAAAAAATTGTGAATAACCTAAATTTCCACTGTTAGTGAAATGACTAAGTAAATAATAATATAACCATATAATGGCACATGTAATAGTTGCTAAAAATGGTGCTGGCAGTCCTGGCCCGGTGGGTCAGTTGGTTAATGTCATCCCAATATGTCAAAGTTATGGATTTGCTCCCCGGTCAGGCATGTATAAGAATCAACCAATGAATGTAGAAATAAGTGGAACAACAACTCAATGTTTCTTTCTGTCTGTCTGTCTCTCTCTCCCTCCCTCTCCCTTCCTCTCTGTCTCTAAAATCAATAAAAATAATAAAATGCTGAAGATTGTAATGAAAATTAGAGATCATAGAAAGACAATATCAAGATAATATTAAATATTTTAGGTATGTTTAAAATTAATTGTTTAACATTTGGAACATATGTTAGATCTGTAAGTTCACAGATCTTTTTAATTTGCGAATGATCAAGTTAGTGAGTTGGATAGTGTAGCCAATAAGAAGCTCCCTATGACACACACACCGACCATTGAGGGAGAATTTTCTGCCGCGGCAGATTTTCGGTGTAGTTGAAGATGTTTGACTGGGCAAAGATGCTCGGCAGCACTTAGCCAGGAAAAGAGAATTCCTAGTTGTAGAGCTTCAGTGGACCAACTCTGTCTTCTTTTTGGTGGAATGGCATCTGGGGGTGATAAGTTTAAACCCTTCTTAATTGCTTCGGACTTGAGCAAATGAAGTAGGAATGACACTAGAGAAACTATGTAACTCGGGGGATTTTATTCAAACAGTTATATTATCAGGAGACTAAAGATGCAAGCTAATAATTTTTAGCTTGTAGCTAATGCAGTTTGCTCCTCTTTTGCTTATTGGATTTATTTATGACTTTGTAACATTTTCATGATTTCCAGCTCCATAGTGGAAGTAATAGTTTACTCAGTAAGCTCATTCATCAGTCTTACCATGGAACCATGGACACAGTTTCTCTCAGTGGGACTCTTCCAGTTCAGATGCTTTTGGAAATTGGCTTGGATAAACTAAAGAAAGATTATATCAGTTTTTTCATAGGTAAGTCCCTTTCCCAGCTCAAAAAATTAAAAAATACATCACAGTTGTCAGCCCATAGATATTTTCAGATTTTATCTTTCTACTTGTTCCTAGTCATTTGGACTGCTGGCTTAGCCCTTGGTTGACTGTGAAACAAACACTTTTGTCCTCTGGGCCTTTAGTTTCTCCCTCAATAAAGGGATTAAAGTTTCTTATAGTATTTGTTTTTAGTTCTAACGTTTTGAGATTCTGTGAGGATAATGTAGTAAATAAAAACCCTTTAATGAAGTGCTGTTTTAATACCCAGCACTTAGTCGTTTTTGTTAGAGCAAGCTGCCATCATTTTTAGAATAAAGACTAGTATGTCTTTACGGTGTAATGTGCCAGAAAATTTGACCACTTCTGATCAACTATTTAGCTTGAGCATCTCTCTTATATATGAACTATGAAAAATTTTTACTTAGATTCTTTAACTTGTAATAGATAATACCTAAAGCTTATTTTCATGTTTTTCTTTTTCATAATAGGTCAGGAACTTGCATCTTTGAATCATTTGGTAAGTTAATTTTTTTAATCAAAACCTGATTTTTCTTTTATCTAGTCTGTGCCCCTGTGTCCTAAGTCCTAAGAAACAGATAAATGAGACAACGTCTGTATTTACTGCCGTCTAGTAACTAGACAGACAAAAAAACCCATTTTAGTGTCATTTATCATTCTCTATAAGTTTGTGATAACTGACATACAGCTGTTTCCTGCTCAAACCAATGTATTCCCACAACTCATTTGTCTAAAATGATTAGGGAATGCCTTTCTTTGATAGGCCCTATGAAGGAATTTGTGTTTTATATTCTCTCGACCCATTCATATTACACACAAATTCCAAAGAACTTATGATGTTCTTTAATATATTGATTCAAATGAGACTTCTGTGATAAAAGGAGACTTGACTTGGGGTGGTGAACATGCAGTACAATATACAGATGGTGTATTATAGAATTGTACTCCTGAAACCTATATAATTTTATTAACCAATATCACCCCAATAAATTCAATAAACAAAAGACAGACTTCTGGGTTTCAGGGTCATGGCTACAAGCTTTTGTATTTTTCTAGTGTCTTTATTTAGAAAGTTTAAGAGATTGAACAGCATCTGTCCTGACCCTTGGCATTCGATGGAAGATGCTTCTAGAAAATGGATCATAGCAGCAGCTTGTTTGTCATTTGCCTCATAAAATACAAGATCCAGAAGCTCTAACTGTGTCTGTTGTGCAAAGTAAGACTCAACTGAATTCTTTTGAGGTTTAATTTTTGCTCTTCAAATTTTAAACATTTATCTATCTGTTTAGTGGAAACATGCTCTACCAACAACTACATATACACAAATATGTATTATGTATATAGTATATATACCGAGTGCAGCACAAAAAACGCCCCTCTTTTATTACATACAAATCTTCTGTTACAAAATCATAAGTATTAATTCTATAACACTATCATTCGAGCATATCACATGACATTTTAGGTGAAATGTTCAAATTGCTGTCCATCTCGTGTGAGACATTCACGTATTCTACCAACCACACTCAACCAAGCCTTCCTTCTGCCGGACCTTGTATATATAACATATATACATATATGTTAATGGAGGTCCCAGAGGGGAATGGTTTGATACATACTCTTAAACTTAGAAAAGTAATAAGATTTTTGGAAGTTAGAATACTTTAGAGGGCAAATACACCCTTACTGTCATCATCCAAATATGAATACTCTTATGTTTATGAATTTTCCTGTAGTCATTTTATATGCCTGTTTTTTAAAAAATATGGTTTGACTCCATATTTTTATGTATTAGAATACACAATAGTCCTTAAACTTGAGAATCTCCTAGAAGGCTTGTTAAAATGCTAATTCCTAAGCCCCAGTGACTTGGTAGGTCTAGGGCTCAATAATACGTCTTTATAAACAAGCCATCTCCTACTCTAGATAACTGATGTTTTCCCTTGCTGTAGTAGTTTTCTACTACTACATAACAAATTACTTCAAATTTTAGTTGAGTCCTCTGCTTGGGGTTTCACAAGGCTGAAATCAAGAGGTCAGCCTGCTGCATTTTCCTCTGGAGGCTTAACTAGGGAAAGATCCACTTCCAAGTTCCCTTGTTTGTTGTTGATGGAATTCTTTTCCTCGTGGCCTGATGACAGAGGTCGCCATTTTCTTGCTAGCTGGCAGTACTGGGTCAGTCTTAGGTCCTAGATGTTGCTTGTTGGTCGTTGCCATGTGGCACTCTCCACAACATTACAGGCAGTTTGTTTTCTCAGACCCAGTAGGAAAGCATCTCTAATGCTTCACCTTTTAAAGAGCTCACCTGATTAGGTCATAGTAATACTTATAATCTGTCTTTTGATTGATTCACAGTTTGTCAGTTAGTAAGCTGTTCACAGGAGTGACATCTCATCATATTCGGAGGTTTTGGCCTCACTCAAGGTGGAAGGATTATACAAGATGGGCATTCCAGGGAGCGGGAATCTTGGGGACCATTGTTGAATTACACCTACCATATTTACCTAAGGCCTGTTTCCTTAGGATGGGTTCTCAGAAATAGGGTTAGAAGGTCTGAGCATTTTATGATGTCTGGCAGACATTGCCAAACTTCTTTTCTAAAGGGTTGTACTAATTTACCAATAATATGTGTGAGTGGAATCTTATCAATACACTTGCTTAATTTCTTAGTACTTCAGGTTTACTACCTATTTTTAGAGGTGGATACTTCCATCAACCTAGCAAGAGTATTGAAGTTAAGAATTATCTTGTGGATTTGCCATATATTCTTTGGAGATGTTGGTGGGTAGCATAGTCACCCACTTGGGTCTCCTTTGTGAAGCAGTTCTGTGATTTGCCTTCACCAGAGATTATGTAGAATGGTTTGCTTAGAATATTCTCAGTGAAGACTTTACTTACAGATTAGAGAAATAGTATTAAAAGGTGGAAAATTCTATCTAGCTGCCTCCTATCTATTTTCCCTCTATGAATGAAGCATCCAAACTTAGGTTTAGCAGGCATAGCCATATTCTTTCTAGAGATTCTTCTTAATTAACTCCCTATCTTGCTTGTACTTTTTTTCTCTCTAGGAATATTTCATTTCTCCATCAGTAGATATACAAGAACAAGTTTATTGCGTTCAAAAACTCCACCATATTCTAGAAATAATAGTCAGTTGTCAGCTTTTCATTAAACCTCAACATGAGCTCCTCTTTTCTTTAACACAGTAAGTATTTCTCTGTTGTTTTTATTTATGTAACAGTATTCTCTTCTGGAATAGATGCAGCCAAAATAGGTGCCTATTTTAGTACCAGTTAGAATAGAATCTGTGCACCCTGTCTTCAGAGTAGCAAAATGGTTCTAAGTCACTGTCATAGGAAGGAAAGGCCTTGAATTCAAAAGGAATCAGTTTAACACTTGGCTGATTTCCAGAGGAGTTTCTTTCCACTGCATTTTGTTCTCTCATGTATAAAAGTAATCTAATAACTTTGTTTGTTGTCAGGATTAAATGATGTAATGTATATAAAGTTCCTGTCACTTAATATATGCTTAATAAATGGTAGTTCCTTTTCTTTACTAGGCCAAACTAATTGTCAGTTTTTTGTATGGTAACTGAATGGAATTAATATGACCAGACCTCTGTTAACAGTATCACCGTAATTTTAGAGATTTCTGCCAATGAGTTTGACTAAAATTAGTTTGGAATAACTCTCATCTGAGCATCACTGGTATCTTATGTGTGTTGGAAGTCTCAAACTGGAAATAAGTGAACCATGCAGTGGCAGGACTGGGTTTCTTTTCTCTGTGAAAGGAATTATATCTCTGCCTGTTCCAAAATTAGAATTTGCCTCAGTTGTAAATGGAAAACTACCAAGAACTTATTTTTTTTTCCATTAAAGATAAGTAGTATAAATAACTTCAACTCCCCAGACTCTGAAAACCATGGAGATTACATCTTTCTATTTTGCCTCTTGGCTTTTTTCCTTTCTGATATCTCTCCTCATGTAAGCCCCTATTTGGGCTCAATTAAAATATATTTTATATGTCTATTACTGATTTTTAAAAAGCAGATGATACTTTCTTCAACAAAAAAGAAATGACCAATGTTTTGTTGGGAGCAGGAGTATTGTGTGTTTGTTTTTTACTTTTGTGTCCCCGAGATTATTCTGTTGTTGATGTTGTGGTTAGTGGTATCCAGTCAAGTGTTTCCTGTATGAGTTTTACACCACCTGAAAGCCTTTATCTCCAGTGGCATCCCTTTCTTAAAGAGGTTCATTTTTTTTTAACTTTTATAGGTCCTGCATAAAATATTATAAACAAAACCCTCTTGATGAACAACACATTTTTCAGCTGCCAGTCAGACCAACTGCTGTAAAAAACTTATATCAAAGGTATGCAATTTAATAAATTGAACTTTAAGTCCAGTCCTGATTCTAGGCAGTTTTGGTATCTGTTCCATGGGGACCTCGTAACACAGAGCTGCCTCTCCTCGGAAACCTGGGTCATCTCACCCCCTCTCTGGCCGTGGTCTGACAGAGCTCTCGCTCAGTCTTCTCCCAGAACTTTTGTTTACTCTTTGGACCATTGAGCCTTTAGCCTTTCATTTTTTTCTCAATTTGTAATTCCCTTGCTGAACAGGGTGGATTGTATTAGCCATAAAGGAAATGACAGATTAGAGAAACAGTGATCAGGGTAATGACAACAAAGTCAAAGATACGGCAGTAAGAGTGCGAGAAGAGTTTGGGGTGGGGAAGATCTGTGAGGCTAAGATGACAGATTGGCCATCAACATGGACATATAGTTTGCTGCAAGTGATGGTCTCCCCTCAGTATCTCATACACTTGAACTTTCTCTCATACTAAGTCACTCTATCTGTACACTCCCTTTATTTAGTTCTCTCTTATTGAAATCCCAGCATGACCATGAACCTGCTCTGGCAAAGGTCATCAGTTGCCTTCTAAGCACCATATCCAGTGGATACTTCTCAGTAAAACAGTGTTTTTTAGCTCCAGGTGCAATTAGAGGGCCCACCAATTAGTCCTTCATGCTTATAAGCACTTATGAGGTGATTTGGCGTTTAACACAATTGCTTTCTTGAACCTATCCCCTTTCTTTGTTTCTGTGACATAGAGTTCTGTCTTAATTTTAATTCTACCTCCCTGGTCCACCTTCATGACTGAGACTAGCTATCAAGTTCTTCCTCTGCCTGCCTTTTATATAAGGGTTTTCACCATGACACTACTCTCTGCCCTCTTCCTACTTTCTATCTTCCCTGGTGATTACATTCATACTCAAGGCTTCAGTTCCTCCGGCCCAATGATAATTCATAACCCATTCCTCCAGCTTCTGCTGAGCTTCAGTCCCGTGTTTCTGTTAGATGTGAACCCCCAACTTCAGTGTCCTGTAGGTAGGCAGTTCAAACTCTAAAATCTAAGTTTAGAATTGTGACCTGTTAATCTCTTCTTCCTTAGTACTTATCACATAAGGACGTCACTAAGTGATTTTAGGAGGAAAAAAGAAGGAAATAACTAGTTTTTTTTTCCTTTGATGTTTTCCTTAGTGAGAAGCCACAGAAATGGAGAGTGGAAATAAATAGTGGTCAAAAAAAGGTGAAAACAGTGTGGCAACTGAGTGACAGTCTACCTGTGGACCATCTGAATTGCCCCAAGCCTGGTAAATATGGTTTGTAACCTATTTATATAAATTGAAAATGAAAATAGAATTTTATTGGTAGAAATTATTATTATAGCTCTCGTGCCCAATTTTAAATACTTTTTCTAAACCCTATGTGTTAAACATATTTATTCTGAAAAAAATCATGAAAGAGTGCTTTTTCTCATTATCCTGAAGAGAGGAACTTTTATTAAAAGAGATCAGGCAGTACGGACATGGGACTAAAAATAGGTTAAAAGATTGAATGCCATACTTCACACTTTTGTGCACTGTTTAAAATAGTTATATTTCTGCCCAAATGTCTTCTCAGTGTCTGGAATAAAGGTTGGGATTTCTGGTATTCTATCAAAGATAATTTGATCAAAGAATGTCTTTTAGCCCCTGGTGTAATTTTCTGGCCTACCAAGTCTTCCCCCTTCCCTGAGCACCTATAAAACTTGTTTTCCTCGCTCATGTGGATTGTATGGTGCAGTCGTCTTTTCTTTACATATGTCTTAAATGGCTGCATTCAAATATTGCACGGGTTATCCAAAATTAAATCTGGTGGTTGTAAGACAAAATCCAAGAAGATTTCAAAACCTGTAGTTAACTATTTCTGGGAATACAAGTAATCCTATTCAAGTGATTGATACCTTTCAAAATTATTTCCAGAAAATGTTTATCCTTCTCCCAAAATTATATATATATTTTTTTATTTGTTTATTTTTAGAGGGGAAGGGAGGGAGGTAGACAGAGAGAGAGAGAAACATCAATGTGTGGTTGCTGGGGTTTATGGCCTGCAACCCAGGCATGTACCCTGGCTGGGAATCGAACCTGGGACACTTTGGTTCCCAGTCCACGCTCAATCCACTGAGCTACACCAGCCAGGGCCCCAAAATTATATTTTAATTCAGTCATAATGGAAACTTCTCTATCCATATGGCTAAACTGTGTAAGTCCTAAAGAAACTGAAACAATTTTCTTTTTTTTTTTTAAAGATGTTATTTATTTTTCGAGAGAGGGGAGGGAGGGAGAAAGAGGGAGAGAAACATCAATGTGTGAGAGATACATCTATTGGTTGCCTCTTCTGTGCCCCCAACTGGGGACCTGGCCTACAACCCAGGCATGGGCCCTGACTGGGAATCGAACCAGTGACCTTTTGGTTTGTAGGCCGGCACTCAATCCACTGAGCCACACCAGCCAGGGCAAGAATTTTCTTAAAAATAAACAAATTTTTGCATGGCAAAAAATACCAGAAGCAAAACAACAGACAAATGATTAACTAGGAAAAGAAATTTGGAGCTCAAGTTCAGAAAAGGGGCTATATTCCCTGGTAAAGAAATTTCAAATCAGTAAGAAAAATATTAATAATTCAATAGAAAAATGATCAAGTAATATGAACAGTTTACCAGAAAGGAAATTCAAGTGTCATTTTAAAATAAAAGGTGCTCAACTCTACATATAATCAGAAAAATGTGAATTTATGTTGTGTATCATGTTGCATACCATCTTTCACCTGTCAGTTTCACAGAGATCAAAAAGTTTGTGCCAACAGTGCTGGTGGGGACATGGGGGAACAGGCAGTCAATGTCACTCATTGCTGTTTGGAGTGTCAAGTTGTGTACAGCTTCATTGGAGGGCGATACCCACCAGAATCTTACAAGAATACGAATTTGGCCCAGCAGTTTCTTTAATAGGAATTTATTTTGCACATATAACCACATGTGCCAAAAGACCTATAAACAAGACTCTTAAATGCAGTATTGTTTACAGCAGCAAAATACCAGAGAAAACATGGAAACTGGGACATAGAAAAAGGTCTGGGAGGATACAGACAAATTCCTGAGGTGTGGAATGGTAAGGGCAGGGGAGGTTCTCGGCTTTGGCTGAACTTTAGAATCATGTGAGGAGTTTTTAAAGTTCTTATACCCAGACGAAGTAAATCCTAATCTCTGGAAGTAGAGCCTGGAAATCAGGAATATTTAAAGTTTGCCCGGTGATTCCATTGCGCAACTTAAGCTTAAGAACCACCAATTTAAACATTTTATTTCATCTGCATGTTATTTCAGGTGTTTTTTAAAAGATATGTATTATTTTTTTATTAAAAAGAAAGTTTTAAGAATGTGAACATATGCAATATGCTTTTGAAAATGCTGTTTTAAAATGTTATTACATAAAGATTAAACCTCTTATGAAGAAATTCATGCAAGACTAAATACCCTCTTCCAATGATGCTGAATAAATGAAGTATATTAAACATATCTTTCAGAGTCTTTTTGATGCGGTTTGCTTCAAAAAAGAGTGAAAGTGATTTTCAATATTAACAGTTAAAACAATTTGCTAGTGCATTGGTTCAGTGACTCCTTTTATGAAAATAAAATTTTTAATGAAATTGTATATTTGTGTACTTGAGAAACACACTCAGCCCTGGCCGGGTAGCTCAGTTGGTTAGAGCGTCCCCCATACACCAAGGTTGTGGGTATGATCCCTGGTCAGGGCACGTGCAAGAATCAGTCAGTGAATGCATGGATAAGTGGGACAACAAATCGATGTCTCTGTCTCCCTCCTTCTATCCCTCTTTTCCTCCTCTCTATCTCTGAAATTAATAAAATAATTTTTTTTTTAAAAATACACAATATAACTCCATTTTGGCTTGGGTATTATAACCTCTTCTATCCATCATATATTCTTGATGTGTTTGTCTAGAAACTTATTTACTACCTTCTGCCCACAACAAGACCCACTGTTGAAGGAGGACCTCGTTTATATTCAAAACAAGATTGAATATAAATTTTAAAGCCCAATAATTAAAGATCATATGCATTTAAGGAGTTAGGCTTCCTATTTCATTGGACTGAATACTTTGGTCAAATACTAGTTTTTCAAGACATTTAGTAGTGTAATACTCTTGAGTGAAACAATTGATATCAAAAGCAGGACAACTTAAGAGAGAAAAGTGTACCTTTATCTGCTATGGGAAGAGAGAATAGTGACTTGGAGTCAGTGGGGGAGTAAAAAGTGCCCAATAGAGTGCTGCTCACCCAGCGGGTGTTCAAATAATTGTTGATAATGGGGAGAATATGGGAACCAAAATGTTGACTTACAAGGAAGTAGACTTAATCTCATCTAAATGTTAATTGTACAGTTTATTTTGAAATAACAGACTTCAGGGAAAAAAAATGGATATGTCTAGCCCTGAGACTACATACATATCCTAGGTAGATTGTTAACAAATAATGTTAAGATTGGAAAAAAGTTGTTTAACTGTAGTGGATGAGGCACAAAAAAAATAAGCAAATTAAAAATATAATATTTTTTAAAGATTTTATTTTATTTTTAGAGGGGAAGGGAAGGAGAAAGAGAGGGAGAGAAACATCAATGTGTGGTTGCCTCTCATATGCCCCCAACCAGGGACCTGGCCCACAGCTCAGGCATGTGCCCCGACCAGGAATGGAACTGGCGACCTTTAGGTTCACAAGCTGATGCTCAATCCATCAAGCTACACCAGCCAGGGCAAAAATACATAATTTTTTTAAAATCTGCTTTCTCTTTTAATTTGTTTATCATGTTTTCCGTGCACCAAGAGGGTTGACTAAAGGAATTGCCCTTGCTGATTTTTGTCTTAATAATTTCTCTTAAAGTAAAAGATACATCATTCAGCCTTCCTCTCTTTTATTGTAAAACTCAGCAGTATACATGGTAGAAAAGCCAGCAGGATGGTAAACTGTTCTGATCTCACTACCTTTCTAGTTACAGATTTTTCTGAATTAACATTAAACAGTAGCCTGGAAGAAAGGATATCCTTTACTAATATGGTTACCTGCAGCCAGGTGCATTTCAAGTGAAGTGTGCTGGTCCTCTATCAGGTAGTATGTTCACTTTTTGTTCTCTCTGAATGCTTTGTAATGTGTTAAATACCTTATGTTTTAGTTTTTCTTCAACATAATGATGACTTAATATATTAGGAATGTCAATTTTATATCAGAAATAATATAAAAGGCTTACCAGATGTTACTGGGCTGTGCAAGTTTTTAACTTCCTTTCTACCTTCTGTAGCCAACCTAATAGCTCAGTTTAATCCTAAAACCAGAGAAACAAAACCAAGTTTTTTGAGTGGTAATATATTTATACTTTAAATCTGGATATAGAGAGTTTGATTTCAGAAATATTGATGGAAGAGAAAAATCCTTAACAGGTATATCGATTTGACATTGAAAGCAAAGACCTGTTACAAGCAATTAACCCCAGCCCAATCGTAGGACTAAGCCTCATGTGTAAATACCTTTTTAAAAATGTTTAATTTGAAATGCTGTTAGCCAACCAAAAGGATTAATGGAATAGCATTTTTTATTATCTTAACTGTTTTTGTTGTTGTTCCAGAAACAATATTAAATAGAATCAGATGAGTAAAATACGTGATATTATTCCTTCTTAAGTTGTGTTCGTCCTCTGATAAATGGAGGTTAATTTTAGCACAGTTAAGAATAAAATGAACTCTTATTTTAAGAAACAAAATGTCTAACTACAGGAAAGATATATAAATTAGTTATATTTCTTTAAGATATTTCATTGAGTGAAGTGAATTGGAATTAGGAAGTGTATGTGCTCATTTGCTTGGTGTACCCCCCCTAAGCTTTTCCCTGGTGCGTGATCGGACCCCCAGACTGAACAGATTGCGCTCCGTAGGTGACTGACTCTGCCCCTCATGTGTAGGACAGTGCTGAGATGGCGTTCGTGTCTGCCTTACAGTTACGTTTCTGGGAAGATTGGAAAATGAAAAAACAACAAGTTGTAAAACAATTTATACATCATGATTTCTTTTTGCATAATGAAAATAGATTCATAACATACAGCAAAATATTAACATTGACTTTGAGAAGGGTAAGGTGATGGGTGATTTTTATTTTACTTATTAAATTCTTATTTTTATTTTCTAATTCTTAAATCCCAGCATAAGCCCCAAAAAGAAAAAATTACAGAACCTGAAACAGGAATGTATATAAATCTTTGAAGCAGAAAATGGATGAAGATCGGAGATTCCCTCTGAAAGATGAAGCTGCAAAATGGGGCAGCCCTGTCTCAGCTCTGGCTCCGCAGGAGGAGCGTTAAGAGAACTGCAGCAATTAACACACAGAGGGTGCAGACTGTGGGTACCACGATCTCCGTCACCATCTGCATGTGGCTTAACAAAGGCTCTGAAATGGGAGAGAGAACACCAGCGCAAATGGGAACGTGATCATTTTAGCAAATACAATTTCATCCTGAAAGCTTTACCTGTATTGGAAAAACTTGGAAAATGGTATCGCACTTTCTAATTATTCTCACTTTCTACAGAAGAATGAAATGTTATAAAAAATTATGTGAGGGCTTTGGAAAATATTTCAGAAAATATAGGATAAAAAATACCTAAATTTGGTTCTTCCATAGGTACTGTAATAAAGTCTAAATGTGTATTAATACTTGTGCTTACGATAATTAATCTCTGAATATTAGCAGCTATGTCACATGGTTTTTATAATTTTCACTGCAGGGATTTATGAAAGAAAAATCCTTGGCAAACATTTCCAACCTTTCAAAGATGTTATTGTGTATCTTAAGAAGTATAAGAGTTTCTACATTGAAATTTTGCAAGGTTATCCTTGCATAGTTAAGTAACAGTCCTGAAGAGTTGAATGTTAAGCATATTTCATGTACATGAATATAGCAGTGGACATTGATTCAATACCTGCCTTTAGGTTTTGTGCCAGGGACCGTGGTTACCAAGGTAAGTAAGGCATAGGCCCTGCTCTAACCGGGTTCACAGGCTCAACAATAAGTTCTCCATCATGTCTGTACATGATAAAGGTTTATTTTAGTTTAATGAAATATACATCCTTAATATTACCTGCTCATTTAGATGTGGGAAGAGGGGTAGGCACAGTGGTATACTGGATTATAAAAGTAGCTGAGTTGGCAGGGTTTGGTTTAGCACTTTCTGCCTCTGGTACCATATTAAAGATGCGTTTGTTAAAAAAGGAAATATATTTCTCCGATTGCCCTTACAGAGATATAAAGACAAAATTCAAAGAAACAAATGGTATGTGCTGGCATTTCTTGATATATAGTTGTGTCTTTGTTATTCTACATCTCTGAGCTTTTTAGATCCCACTGCATAAGAAATGATGCTTTTCATGAGGTCAGGGACCTTGTTTTGTTTATTACTATTTCCCCAGTTCTTAGAACATCCCCCCCGCCTTAAAGTGGGTGCCAACAATTACTTGCTGAATGAGTAAATATAATATCTCGAGTGTTCTTTAATTTTTCTTTATTTCATTTGGTATAATGGTTGAATTTTTCCCTTCTTCTATAAGCCCACTATAACAAAATAATGGATTTATAAGTTTTCAGTATGATTCAAGAAGAAAAGAATAGAGTAGCTAAAATATTTCTCTTTCTGGTAGGTTTTTAAAATATTTTAAATGCTTATAAAATAGAAATTTGAAATTGCTTCAAAGTAAAGAAAAAAACATTTTTAACCATTTGGTTTTAGAAGATTGACCTAGGGTAGGTCCACATTTTCAGATTTTGGTAATATCATTTCCTATATAATTATGTGGTTTAATTATCAAAGGGGAAAATTAAAATACACTCACCTGCAGCAAGCATCTGGTTGTTGATAGAGCAAGTTTCCAAGGCTTTAAAGTACCAACTTTCCACCTAGTGAAAAGCCACTTGGTGATTAATGTTGTTTTTAATCTGCTTGTAGATTAAATTAGCTAACATTTATTAAACACCAATGTGCATCATTGTGAAGGGGTCAAAAAAAAGCCCCAAATGGTATTCTTGAGGAGTTTATAATCTAGTGCTGTCCTAGTGAATGCCTCAGCTTCCATAGTCTCACTGGAGTCACCCTAAAAAATGTTGGTAAATAAGTGAAATTTATTTTTTTAGTTATTTTTATTACGACATTATAAATTACAACTTGTATTATCATTAGCAACATAGAGAGCTAATAGAGAAAATTGTATGTCATTGAAGAACTGGCAATATTTGTTTACATTAAGATTCAACATTTAGCCTTGACCAGGCAGCTCAATTGGTTAGAGCATTGTCCTGATATGCCAAAGTTGTGGGTTCAATCCCTGGTCAAGGCACATACAAGAATCAATCAATCAGTGCATAAATAAGTAGAACAACAAATCGATGTTTCTTTCTCTCTAAAATCAATCAATAAAAAGATATATTTTAAAAAGATACATTTAGAATAACAGTAATTTAGAAAAAGACTAATGTATTAGTCTTTATGGACTAATATAACCTAAACACACAGGACTCCTGAGTTACTGTAGTCTGCCCTTAATATTCTGCATGTTAGGGCTAAATTTTAAGGTGTGCTTATCCTGTTCTAGGCAAATGAACAAATAGGTTGTACCAGTTAGGCTGAGAGACCAAAGGGCCGTGCTCCCACACACCCTGGTCCTCTTTCGTGGAGGAAAGGGGAGAGAGGTGCTTGCCCAACTCTGTGCCCCGCAGCTGCCCAGCTCTTCTAAAATCCAGAGTGAATAAGATGGAAGATTAGTCCTACCTCTCTTGGATTGGGAAAGCCATTGGCGGTGATAATCTTCTTGTAATATTGAACTGAAGCCTTTGGATACCGTGGTTTATTTCTGTTTTTAAATTCGACATAGTAGAATCCGTATCTATCTGAGTATCCTTTCTCCCATTCAAACTTATCCAAAAGAGACCAGGAAGTATACCCTTTTATATTAGCACCATCTTTTATAGCTGCAAAGACATTTCATTCCATACTTAATACATTTCATTTACTTGGAAAAATAGTACTGGGAAGATAAATGTTTTCATTTAGAAACATGTTTTAGTCAATCATGTGTATGAAGACTGTTGGTTTGTATCTCACCTTTTAGCATTTCATTTACATATCCTTTAAGGTATTGAATTCTCCACTTGTCACATAATTCAGTGCAGTGTAATTTTTGAGATGCTCCATTTTCCATCACATATATGGGAGGATCACCATATTGAGTCTGAAAGTGAGTCATAGTAATGAATATCTTTTAGAAATCCAACTAGTAGGTGGGTTTCTCAGTCTGAGGTACATAGAGACACACGTGTCCAAGCCTGCTGTATTTTAACCATGTGTGTTTTGTACTTAGTAAATGCCAGCTCACACATTTATTTAGAGATGAATGCAAGCAGGAGGCAAGTTCAGATGAAAGAATACATTTCTCAATAAACCAGCATCATTGTAGAGAAAATGTACCTCAGGTCTTGTTCTTATCTTACCCAGATATTCCATTTCAGGTGAGAAGGGCAGCAAAATAACTAAATGTGCAATAAGACTTTTAGCTACAGTTATATACATTGAAGTGGTTATTTACAGTAGGCATTAGTCTGTAAGGTCGAAATCAGCCTCTGAAATGCGAGTAACTGGACATATTTTGTTAACTTTAAGTGTAAGCACCTGCGCTGAAACTGTAAGACCCTGAATTCAGGTAAAAAAAATACCTTTGAACTAGCTTAGTGGAATGATCACCTGAGCGAAGTTGAGGAGCCTCCTTAATCCCCATGGCACAGAATATAGCTGCTGAGACCCCATATCAGGCCAGTTTGGGTCAGCCAGTTCTACTAGGTCACGATCGTTCCGGTAGCTGGGCCCCTGGCGGGCGGGGTAGTTCCTTTCTGTGATGTACCGAGTTGTAAAATGACCTAGTCCTAAGAAATCAGATGTGCCTTTAATGTAGCTCTTTTCCTGGAGTGAAAACACTGGTAACCTTGACATATCCAGGCCTTGCTCTGCACTCTTTCTTCCTGTTGAAAGAGAAAAACAATTTAACAAAGTTTTACCTTCTCACAATCATTTTATGTACTAGGATGATACTGACATGTTGACATAGAACCTGTCATCCAAATCCTGGGCTTTGGGGTTTATTTGTATGGAAAATGTAACCTTAGCTTTTCAAACTGGAATTTTGACATTTGAATACTATCCAAAAATTTAAGTTTATATTGCTTAAAAGTAATACTTTCATAGATTATTCAGTAACTGGTATGAAGACATGTGTGTAGCCATCTGGAAAATAGTGGAGTTGGATTCCTATATTATTCATTACATCAAAAAGTGGTGACTTTGGTTGCCTCTGGGAAGGGAACTGCGAGGCCAGTGCGGGGTGGGGGGGACATGTGGTCGTGTTCGTGCTCTGTTGTAGGGTAAGTCAGCTGGTACACCTCTGTACTGAAATTTTGTTCTAGCTTTCAAAATTGTAAAAATATATGTCCTTTCACTGATCAATTACAAATCCATTTACCCTACACTTTACTTACACATGTAAAAGGATATATGTACGAGGGTCTTCACTGTAGATTGAGTAGCAAAAGGTTAGAAACAATCTAAATGTCTGTCAGGAGAGACTGCTCAAACAAATGATGGGATATTTCTCAGTGCCCAACACTGCAGCCGTTGGAATGAACGAGGTAGTACCTTGTACACCGACATGAAAAGAATGCCAAGATACGTGTCGGAAAGAAACAGAGATGCACAGGGTTGCTTCCAGTGAGCACGATAACCAGTACTGCCCAGCAGCAGCGCTTTTGCTCGCATGCACACACGGTCCAAGCCCAGAAGTGCGCTTTCCCCTGGGGAGGAGGGGGCAATGGGGAAGGGGTGGGGCAGAAGGCTGACTTTGTCCTTTCTTGTACTTTAAAATATTTGAAACATGCATGTCATTATATAATCTATGCAAAAAGTTTTAAATGAATAAGTAAAAGTAACATTTTTATGAGTTGGTATAAAATATAACCATACAAATGTTTCCACCGAGACTATTGATTTAAATAAATGAAAAGTTTGTATTATTAAATACCTTTAAACTATTAGCATGTTATTACTTTCAGTTAAATTTAGTAACTTGAAAAAAACCACAAGTTATCGCCACTATACTATCTTTAATACAATAGCCACTCGCCACATGTGGCTCTTTGAATATGGCTACTGAATGAAAGACAGTATGACTGCATCCTTAATTCAGTCACATCGAAGTACTGAATTTTTTATTTTTAATAGACAAATAGCTATAGTCTGTCATTGGATAGCACAGATATACATTATCTGCATAATGTGTATCTATATATCATATCTGTATATATATACATTATTCATAACATTTCCATCATCACCAAAGTTGGTCAGCATTGGTCTAGAATTACTTTTGTTCATGTTTATTGTGAATAAAAGGGTGCTTGAGATGCCTGGAAGTAATTTGTGAACAAGATTTCAAGCAGATGCTTTCACTAGTAAAGAAAATATTAACTGCTCAGAGGATCTTTCTTTCCACATTGTACAAAGGAAGAGTTCAGCCCAGTTTCCACTTGAGTTATCACAGTTGTGTGGGGTGATTGGCCTTAAGCTAGGGTCTGCTCTATGACAAATAATCTGTTTAGCTTTTAGTGCAATCCTGCCT